GAATTGGGAGCGTGTGCCAGCAAAGCAAGAGCTTGTGCAGTCCGCGACCGGTGAGCGCTAAGCTCGCGAGCCCCCCCAGCACAGGCATTGCGCCCAGCAAGCAGAGCTAGCCGCCCGGTGCGGGCTAAGCTCGCGCCCCCGCAGCACGGCATTGCGCCCAGCAAGCAGAGCTAGCCGCCGGCGGCTAGCTTCGCGCCCCCCCACAAGAGGCATTGGCTGAAATGGACGACTTTAGCGCCGGCCCGACTTAGCCCCCTGACCTTAGCCCGCCGAAGCTTAGCCCCGACTTAGCCCCCGCACTTAGCCCCGACTAGCCCCCGGACTTTAGACCCCCCGGGACTTAGACCCCGACATAGCCCACCGATCTTTAAGCGCCGTGCCCCGTCTGTGACGCGACTTAGCCCCCGACTTAGCCCCCGACTTAGCCCCCGACTTAGCCCCCAGTTCAAATTAGGCTCAAAATGATTTTGAGCTTATAAAGTAATGTTTACAAATAATTCCAATATTTGTAGTTGGAAATCAACCTTTGTAAACCTGGGAAATAAATCTGAATGAAAAATTCAACTTTGTGCATGTGAAAACAAATTGTGCTTGTGGTAAAGACATTTCTATTTGTTAAGACAGTGTGAATCAAAACTGTTTAACCTTAACACTCATCATTTTCTTGAGTTTTGATTCAGACTTTCAACAAATACAAATCTCCTTGACACAAGTGCAATTGTTTCACATACACAAACTTGAATTTCTCACCCACATTTATTTTACAGGTTCACAAAGGTTGATTTACAACTACAAACATTGGAATTATTTGTCAACATCACTTTACAAGCTCAAAATCATTTTGACCCTAATTTGAGCCTGGATACATGTAGCTACAGTCAACAGTTTTGGTTTTAAAAACATCTGCTCACTAATACACAAAGCACTTTGTGTGTTACATCACCACTGGTTATTTGTTGGCTTTTATTCACAAAGTCTTGATTTTCTTTTTACAGATGGAAAACTTGTTCAGTGTATTATTGAGGGTAACTTGCAACACATTACAATAGACCTGCATTGTAAACTAGAGTGAAATCCATCAGCATTTTGTGGTTGTTTTTACAGTTGTGTAGCTTTTGACAGTAAAGTCATTAAGCAGTTATTGAATAGTTCCTCATTACATCACAATGAGTTCCTTCACAACAAACCATAGACAGCAAGTTTCCCAACAAGTATTTTAATTATAATATTCAAGCCCAAGCCACATATATTAATAATCACATCCACATTGTTTTCTGATGCATTAGCAATTATGATGACAAAGAAAAATAAATCTTAAGATTAATTTTAACATTTTAGTTTATATCATGTGCATGACTTACCATTTCTTGCTTTCGAGGGACTGCAAAAGGTGTGGTTCCAGCCTGAGGTGGATTCTGCAATCCCTATGAAATCACAAGAGGAAAAATAAGAACATGTAAGCATTCAAAAAAAAAAAAATAAAAAAAAAAACTTCAGAACATAAAAGATCAATCATCCATTTAAACCTTATAATAAAATATATGTATATATACACACACACACATATATACATACACATACATATACATACATATACACACACACATACAGTGTTGAGGCAACACAAAGACACTGGAAGAGTTAGAGCTTCTGTCAATGTCTGAACACATGCAAAGCACAAAACTAAAATTGGTGCTCAAAATTCTAAAGTGTGTGACACTGAAGTAACAAGTAGAATTTAAATTCAGGTGTAAAAATAGGATCTGAAGTCTACTTGTAACCTCCATACACTTGCAGATTTATGAAGGCAAGGAGATACTGCAGGACACGTGGGCAGGCTATAGCATGAGGAAGGGATGATGACATCACAAAAGCAGATTCAGGAAATAAGGTTTAGTCAGGAAAGTTTTCACTTACAAGATATTTGGCTTGGTGTAGTATCAAATTAACATATTCATAAAAAAAAGTTAATACTGCAATACTTAAATATAAATAGATTAAAAAAACAAAACAATGGAAACGATAGTACGCAACCATGTACAAAAGTGTTCTAGAATGACAAAACTCCTGCTGAGCAAGCTGTGCAAGGTATTGATCAGGGGATGTGCAAAAGATCACCATATAGACAATATCTGTTATGTGCAGGGATAATACCTCAAGGTGTTGATGTAATGTGGTTGTTGATTGATGAGGCCAGATGCAGAAGGAAAGGCAGGTGCTGGTCCATCATTGGTGATGATTAGACTGGAATTCTCGTCCTGATAAAGACAAACATGTGATAGAACAATTCATTTAGATCATACAAGTTCTTTACTTGACCAAACATGTTAGGTCTGGTTGGTGTGTGGGTGTGTGGGTGTGTGTATATAGCCTGAAGTTACTCACGTAACTAGCTGTACAACAGCAGAGAGGAACAGACAATTCTAGTAACCGCTAAAACGTCTGTGCACAACGTCAATATCACCACCTGAAATGTTTGTCGGTACGGTTTGTCAGTCGTTGCACTGATTATACTTTTAGCTAAAAAGCCAACAATGATGTAACTCACCGGGCTAACAGGAAAGTTGCGAGCTCGGCATCAAACCGCATCTCTTTCCTCTCAGGAGCCGTCTCCGGCGGTGGAAAGCCACATCGAGAGTTACTCGTGTTGCTTCTTTTCTTCGCCGTTGAACGTGGTTTCTTGTCGGGTGCGGTCCTGCGGGATAAAGATACAGATTGCCTTTTAGGAGGTTCAGCCGTTTCTGTTATGCTAACTTAAATCGCTGCCGGAAGTTGTTCTTCTTCGTGGGACTGAGGGAAGACTTGACGCGCCGCTGACTCACACAGCGTCTAGTGTCACAAAGTGGTATTACAACACAGGGCAGGTCGGGGCTGGCTGGTTACCGTGCTCATTTCAGTAGATAACTGAAACACAGTAGATCACTGCGTCTCCTTCACACACTGTTGATAGCGTTGATTCATTTTTTCAACATTTTAAACTAAAGTCCTGGCCACATCTTATATTGAACCTTTACAGCACAACCACCAACGCTGACATTTAAAACTAAAGCTACATGTATTTTGCCAACACTTACGTTAAAACTAAGACATTGAGCTTAACTGATATTGACACATTCGATGCATATAAAACATTTTCATTTGCTTTGACAGTATATAAATTTGTGCTTGGAATATAAAATACAAATCATGCTTTGCCTTATACTTACATTGAATTTGTGATGTACAAACATTTGTACTTGCCCATTTTGCATTCAGGCCAGTAGATGTTGCACTGTTCACATGAAGCATCAAGATATAAACCCTTTGTGGAACCACTTTCCTGGGAAAGAAAAACCTCAGACGCTGTGGGACTCACATCCAGTACCAGGCAGTTGATTTCTGCAAGTAAAGAAGACATAACAGCCCGGGAAATTTCACTCACCGAGTATTTCACTTACTGATCGTGGACTGCTCACAGAGCCAGGTTTCAGTTGCAGCCATGTTGTTTTCTATATACAAAGAAATCATGGTGTATTGTCCTCCCAGTCACCATATGTTGACAGTCTTTATGTTATGAAACAGCTAGGAGAAAAGGGAAACAACATAAAACCAGATGTTATTTGTAAATCAAAATTTATTGCATAACCCGGAGGCTAAATAAGGAAACAAAAATACAAACAAGGTGAGAGGATAACTAAAGTAGGGGAACAGAAGCCAACAAAGAGCCCAACTGTGCGATTCTAACCAACCCCAAAACACAAGCAGCACCTCTGTTCCTAATGTGTCCAACAGTCTTTTTCTAAGGGTGTGATGCACAATCAGAATTTTAAACCTAGCCCAGTCCCCAACAATCACTACCAGCATCTCAAACCAAATCACAAATTACACACACACGTTGACAAAGGCGGTAAAGAGGCGCGCTGCCTATGATGTCAGCCGCCATTAATGATGTGCGGGCCGGCTTCTTAAACTCTTTTCCTCTGAATGCTTGAACGGCTACAGCTGTGGCGAGGACTCGCAGGATCATTGCTGCACCAATAGGAGAAGCCGGCCGTGGAGTTGGAGGCTCTTCCTCTCTGCTTCGACCAATCCCGTCACGGAGTCCGCGCAGCCTCATTAGCATACAGACAAAACACACTGTAAGAAGCAGGTGACTGCGCTGCGTTCATTTGAACATATTTTTATGTCGTGCAGAAAGTTGAACAAGAAAGAGCTGAACTGATGACACAGTTACGGACGATTGCCCCGGTAGAGCATAACATTAAAAGTATTAGAAAATTCCTGGAGAAATGTTGAATGCGCCTGCTGCTTGGTGCGTGTACTTCACTCTTCACGTTTCGACCTTTACAAAGGACGTTACTTTCAGTTTCATTCACGTCGTAGAGACTCATCTTGACACTGGCCTCAGTCACTGCAGGTGTCCTTCAAAAAGCCTTTTGGAGCTGTCACGACTGGCCAAAATAACCTCACACTGATGGTTTCAAACACAAATGTGTCCCCACAACCATAGCAAGACATGTATACACACATGTACAAGTCCTTACAGAAGCGACACAGATTAATAAACAGGTGAACAGGCAATAAGCTAACATACCATTTTCACTTCTGATAATATTTTGTCATGTTTGTAATAGTATAAAGATGTATTATTACAAGTACAAAACCTGCTCAAGATCTTTGAATAGCCCTAAATAACAATCTTATACACTGTCCAACACATCACCTTCCCTAAATTAGTGAGCGATGGTCAATTAGCAAGTGTTTAGCCACAGCTCGTGATTGAGATCAAACCAATATTCATTCCTTGCATAGCTTTTACATTTTTTCTAACATATCTCAACACCTCTAATTTCACTCTCTTTGATGGTGGAAATGAGTTGGGAAGCTTATGCTTCTGATAGAGTAGTACTAACTGAAAAAGTGGAAGAGAGTGCACCTAAATAAATAAAAGGGAAGGGTTCCTGTACTACAAAAAATATTACCATAGGCTGAAAATGAGAAAATAACAAAAAATGGGCAAAACCTTTGAACAAAAATAAAACCTGCAACACTTGCACAGCCATAATCATTATGCATATTTAAAAAAAAAATATATATTTTGTATAGCTTTGCATGATTTTCACGGGTGCTTCAACTAAGTACAGCACACTTAAATGATCAGTGAGAGCATAAATGGCAGAAAATTTAAGTCCACTCACTGACTCCTCTGCACCTACTGCATCAAATATCAACTACTCCTTATTTCCTTGCAAATATTACTGTATTTTCAAAACACAATGTATATTTTGTAATACAGAGCCAGGAATACGCAATAGTTTCAAATATACAGCCATGAGTGACACCAGCGAGTTACAAAAAAAGGGTCACTTCTGCTTTTCTCTGGAAATCGGCTCCTGAATTTGTATTGCAGTCAAAGGGAGAGGTGGAGGGTAGTCCCATCACATCCTCAAAAACCGTGAAAGATATCAGAATTAGACTAAAACTGGGTGATACAAGACAAAAAAAAATGTCTATATTTTTGATATAACAAATTGTCAATGAAGGGTTGGAAATTGTGGATTTAAAAGAATTTGTGTGACCTTTTTTGAGGAAGATTTCAGGGATTGCAGTTACAGTTTGCAGTTAGCTCCAGTAGAATAAAGTAGACTACACCACTGTACCACAACCACACGCACACGCTTTGTCAATTTCTTGCCCGGATACTGCGTTAGTAGCACCTGCTGAGACCTGAGACCTACTGTTTGCTATCAGCTTCTGAATTTGTATTGCAGTCTATGGGAAAGCTATGATGATTGAACAGTTTCCTGTAGCTCGAACCTCAAAGTAAATTCATATGTCTGCTGCTGTATTTACTGTTGTAGTGGTCCAGTACTGAACTGTAACAGGAGCTGCCAACTTTTCAAAAAGCCTTGGAGTGAGATTTTGCGGGGCCAACCAAAATGTTGCCGTATACACGCCAATTTTTTGTTTGGCCCATTGCCATACAGCAAAAAACATTTACCGCTTACAGTACATCAGTGGTTCTGAATGTATTAGCCTTAGGCCCTACTCAGAGTGTACAAATGGAACCAATTGAATCAACAGTAAGACACAAGACACAGCATGGCCCATTTTGTGCATATTTATTTTGGGGAAAAAGTAAACAGATATGTAGTATACATAGAGTATATGTTGAAACATTTAAATAAAAATGAAAAACCCCAAAACATTTTTTAAACATCCCCGATCTATATGCATCTAATAATGCAGAGGTTAATGTACAGTAGGGGGAGTAGGGAAAGCTGCCATTTTCAAACTAACAAAACAGACTACTCATCTCAGGCTACTCATCTCAGTCCTTGATGGCTGTGTGCTTGGTTGCACTTGCTCGTAGGCATTTTTTGAGGCCTTGATGATGTCCTGGGATGGCTCCCACTTGAAGCAGGGCTCCAGGCCAGCCATCTTGATTTAGGTTTAATAAAAGTCATGTTAGTTTAATAATTATGCACTAGTATATTAGTTACAATATGCTTTTTTCTGGCGTACAATTTATGTTGGGCTTATTCTGAATTCAATTTTAATATATCTTATAGGAATAGTTCACCCTAGAAACAGAATTCAGTCAATATCATGTGTGCTTTTTTCTTCCAAAAAAGTCCATTTAGAGACCCCCGGTGAGCCAGTCCTGCAGCGAAAATACTTTGAATGGCCGTCAATTGCGACCGACACGAAAACGTCCATAAAAATACACAAAAACTTTGTAATATTCCTCCATACTGCTCGTCCGCGACAATCCAAGTGTCCTGAAGTGGGAACACACCAGAGTTTACTCGCAACGACATTATTTAGTACATGTTTATAGCCGAAAACGGTGGCTATGGTCAGCCAGCCCGGATGCGCACAGAGGCAGCTTCTTCCTGGCATATCACAGGTAGATCTATCTCTATAGCTCTGGCCAGGACGAAATTCAGCGTGAGAAATCGGGGGTGTGGCGTGATTCAAATGAGTGTGTCTCACGGCCAATGCGTGAGAGTTGGCAGCCTTGCGTACGAACGTCACGAATGACAGGTTCCGCACTGTCACTGATCTCAGGCCAGTGAGTGGACAGTGACCGTCTACGTTGATTTACAGTTTTTCTCAGTAGCTTCGTTGCAATTCACTCACCAGAAACATCATTCTCACAGCTCCTAATGCAGTTCTCAAAACAGTTAATGCAGTTCTCATAACACTAAATCACCTGTGCAAAAGCCTCTAAAACAACCTTGTTCACATGTGTCAAAACATGCAAAGTCAGTCAGTCACTTCAATATTGTCACTAATGAATTAAACCTTTTTACCAGAGCTTCAAGACTTGATTTTTAAATGTTTTTACTGTATGATATGCAGTGTTTCATTTTTGTGGCGCTTTGCATTTCGTGTGCAATTTTTGGATTTGTGTGTCGAGTTTTGAAAAAATGAGACCTAGTTTAGAAAATGTGTGAAAGCAGTTGAAATAAACTGTGTCTGTAAATTCACGAAATATAACTGCTGTAACTGAGGAAAGCAAAATGATAAACGTGGAACTATTTCTATTCAAAAATAGAAAAATATCCAATCAAACTTAGAACATAGCATCAACTATAGTACAGTACATTCACCACACAACAAGTATATATATTTGAATAAAGTTTAAAGTGATTTGATTGAAAACAACAAGGCAATGCACAACAGTATCAAAGTGAGTGAACTCTTTTGAGAACTGCATTAAGAGTTGTGAGAATGATGTTTCTGATGTGAGAATTGTCCACATGGAAGAAAGCTGCTAATTAAATTTTACAATGACAAATTTTGTATGTTCATATGATACCCATTTCTCTTTTTGTTTTTGTTTAAGTGCATTTTCAGTTGCTGAGTGCATAAATATTTGATGTTTGTTACAATGGACACCGGGTCTGAAGGAATTAAACTAGATTGAAATCATTAGTAGGAATGATAGTGAATATTAAAAAATAAAACAGGTTAAAGAAAAACAGAATTTTCCTTTAAACATTTGTATTTGAAGTTGACAGGAACTGAAAGCAGGGTTAACAAACACAAACAGAAAACATACAAATTATGCAAAAGGAACATGTTTATTGTAACATCATATCTGTTATAATAATGCTATGCTATGTATATATATATATATTTATATATTTGTATTTATATTTTTACATAGAACACAAGCTACTAAGGAGTACATACAGTACAGTCAGCAACATAGAAAAATATTAGAGTAGTATTGGCACAGATGAAGTAGTATTTACTGTACTTTACATGTTTTACATTCAGCAAAAGAACTGCAGAATGAAATAAATACATGTTCCTCACAGTGAAGTCAAACATTTTTTTTTTTTTTTTTACATTCAGTTCAAACACAGGAAGGATGCTCCAGTGACGAGCAGACAATGATAACACACTTCCTCTCACACACATATTACACAGCATCCTCCACCAACCACATACACACACACACACACACACACACACACACACACACACACACACACACACACACACACACACACACACACACACACACACACACACACACACACACACCTACCCTACAAATGAACACGACTCTCAGTAAAGGGCAATCAAATACAAAAAGGTTCAAGTCAGCTAGTTTTGAAGGTTGACAGCACTTGCAAGGATCTATTGGATTTATGGATCACATTTGAATTCACTCTTCAGTTATAACAGCAGCATGAATGTACATTTTACACTCTCAGAGACATATTTTGTAATAAAAAAAGATTTAAAAAAAACAAAACATTTTATGTGAATGGAGTTGAACATAATGTAAATACAATTCTTTCTCATCTAACACCACAGCCTTCAGGTGACAGACGCCTACTCATGAAACAATCACAAACACGTATTCGCCCTTGAAGGGACTAATCTCAATACCACAAACACTTTTTCCCTCCATTGATTCCCGCTGACCCCTTTGGGTAAACACACATGGCCTTAAATGCACACTCGGAGGAAAAGCAAATAAGCTAAAGCCTCATCCATATACAGCATGTGTGTGAGTGCGTGTGTGTGTGTGTGTGTGTGTGTGTGTGTGGTGGGGGGGGGGGGGGGGGTGAGGCATGATGCATGGCAGCTACTAGATGCAGCTTTGCTTAGTGGCTTTTTGAGAGTGATCTCTGTGTCCTAAAGGGGCTCATTTGATTAGAGTCAATCACGGTGACACTCTGCTTACCGTGCAGTGCCACAGCAACAGCTTCCACACGGAGAAGAGCACTTTGCGATGTCAACGGTTGTTCTCCTAGACAGCGCACTTTGAAGACAATACAATGCTTGAATGGCTGAGACAGACAACCGACATCAGTTTTTTTTTTTTTTTTTTTTACAACAAGTACGAGACGCGGCATTCAAATGTAAATAAGCAGTGCATGTATAAACAAAACAACAACAACAACAACAAACAACAAACAAACAAAAACAGGAAGAAATAGCTGTTTGGATGTTGTAAAGCTAGTGGAGGTTGATTCAAGGTTGTCAATAAAGTGCACTTGCCATCAAACCAGTGCAAAGGTTAAGTATAGCTCTCTAGGTGTACCTAACTACACACACAGCAGATGCACAGCCACTGCTGGATATGACATTTATGATAACAGTTCTCTGATGCCAGAATGTAAACATCATTTGATGGACAGCACAGTGATGAGGAAACAGTCCTCACCGACATGCTGGAAAACTATACCTCTCCTGTCACGCTTGAATGTGACAGCAAAGGTTGTGGAGGAAAAAAATAAAAATACATTTCCACATCAGAGTTCTGATTTAGCTGATGAGATGATCAAAAAAAAAAAAAAAAAAGGCTATCATCTTACAGTATATTAAACAACATGAGACAGAGTCTGCTACGATGGTGCTTCCCTGCGATCATCATGCATCATATTGAACTTAAGTTTACAGAAAATGACAGTGTGTGAGGGAGAGTCCTGGCAGTGCGTCCGTATTACGCAAAATAATCCAGTTTTCCAGAAAACAAAAGCAATGACTCCCGGATTCACGCCATTTAAAAAATAATACGTTTCTGTCTTTGTGTGGAGGATTTTAATCTACAATTTAAAACGGTTGATTAAGAAAGTGATGCTCATTAGACCATAAGATTGCACTATATAGTCATGGATAATGTGTTTCTTTTTCACATTATATGTAAAGTATATTCTGCTGTTGATTCCTTGAGTAAGCCTTTTTCCCCTTCCCTGTCACATGATTCAAGGAGCAAAACGGGAGTAATTCATGTATTGTAACTGGGTTTTCCTGCCTGTTGTCATGCTGTAGATTTACTTCAATACTGTTAGATAGTTTAACAAAAGTAGTGACCATTCGCTAAACCCCTCCCCCTATGTAAGGAATTAATTAAACTGTATGTTCACCTGTTCTGGCTGCGATTGCTAGCATGGCTACCTATACAAATGCTAGCTACCTTGCTAGCTTACTACCCAAAGTAGCAACCGAGCATTACATCCAAGGGCAAGAAACATGTCATTAACTTACTAGGTTACATTACTTTGTGGGTTAATGATAAAAATTCCCATTAACGACGAGGCAAATCCACTGTGTAGTATTTCTCTTTTGTGTGAAGCCAGTTCTCGATGCTATCAGAGTTTTGGCTAACTTAAACAGCTCTGTACTGCTCTTGATTGAATTTGGGAAAAGTTCGGACTCCATTTGCCCGAGATGGCGTTGCATTTTCCAAAAACATCAGTTAGCTCTCATTCTAAAAGCTTTTCTTTTGTAACGTTTAAGTTTAAACGTTGAAAATAGTATATTTTCAAGTTTGTATGCTAAGCAGCGGAAACCGAGCTATGTCAGAACAAATTAGCAGTCTGACCAGTCTGAGACAGCATTTTCGACCAACTCCTGTAGCTAACTTTAGCTTAATTAGCTACTAATATCCTAGGCTAATTAGCAAGTTCTCACATCTTTTTTGTTTGTTTGAGGTTGCTCATGTTCATTAAATCGTCAGCTCATCTTCTACAATGTTTTAATGCCAACTGGAGAATGAGCGCCACCAACTGAAATCTCAATGCGACCATCTCTAACACTGGCAACAGTAGCGGAGGAAAATGTGCATTAATTTGCATTTTCTTTTTTCAGTTTCCTGTAATTTGATTTAAAAATTTGTGCTGAAACTTAGCTACTGTAAACTGGGTGTAGCAACGGCAATTAAGGAGGGCGGGGTTAGGGATAAATTGCTTCATAAATTCAGTCAATCAACCTGTTCAATCAGTCAGTGCAAACAATCAATTTAAAAGTGAGGGCTAACATAGCAGGTAGTCATTTGGTATCAATGATACAGAAATGCTCATTGTGCTGTAGCCTAATGCTTAGCTAACCAGGGTCAGTGAGTTACTGATGTGCAATTAAACATAAATAAATTGATAAAGTAAATGTATAAAAAAGGTGACGCTTTAAATATCCACTGTACTGAATTACAGGCTACATAACGTAACACTTCATTTGATAGGTTTGATGATAACACACACACAAACAAAAAAAAATCACATTTAGATGGAGTACTTACACTGTGGATACATAAGCAGATAAAAAATAAATCATTTTAAACAATATACTCATTTCTGTATAAAGGAACATCTATGTTTTTGTACAACAAAATACTTCATGTACAATCAAGGGGATAAATGCTGCGCATCTGTTGCCTTGGTACTTAGGATAGTTGTAAGACTATCATCAGTGTAACCCTTAAAGAGGAATTCAATCAGTGATTCTAAAGGCTCTAAACCAACTCTAAAGGGAAAGTAGTTAAATGCTTTAGACCACAATTACCATCTGTTAGTGTTCTGGCTGAGAGGTTATTCATAAGGCCGACAAAACATCTACAATCAGTCCTGTGATAGATGTCAGATGTTTTGTTTTTCATGGCTACACGTCAAACTCAGACTTCTGAGTCAGCATTTTAAACAGTCACAATACACTGATCTTTTTTTTTTTTTTAACATCTTCTAACAATCCTAACCAATGAGATATACAGGTCTCGCCTCTCGGATACCAGGGATTATATACATTATACTGTACAAGGTGAAAGTAAGGACCTTTTCCTCCAAAATCAGCTCTGTCAGCCGCCAAAAGGTTCTGTCCTGTGAGTCCGCAGTGCTAGCACCTTCATTTGAAGTAGTTGAGCCCTGCCACTAAGAAGAACTTCTCCAGGAAAAGCTCAGAGTCCAAGACGGCGATGTGGGCGGCGCGGCCAATCAGGGTGTTGGCGGTGTTGGGCAGAGCATGGAAAACATTCTGGCGGATCAGCCGGCACTCTTTAGCCTCCACAAGTGGCTGCAGGAGGTTGTTGATCATCTCCGTGTACACGGGCCCTGCAGAGCAAATATGTACATGAGGCATCTTTTGTATTCAAATGAAGGGATAGGGTAATATATCAGATATGTAAACGCTGAATTCGTAAACATAAAGGAAGAGTTTGATATTTTGGGAAAGCCAAGAGTTAGATGAGACAATCTGTGGTTCGATGTAGGGTTATGTATCAGCCACTGTTGTCGTCATTGCATCCAGCTATGAAAGACTGTAGTCCGACACATAACGATCCATAAAACCACAACAGTTTTTTCTTTCAACGGATTAAACAAACACGATATAATGTTTTAATTAGTATGGTTTAGTGGTGCTTTGTCAGGCAGAGCCAGGCTAGCTGTTAGCTCCAGTTTCCAGTCTTAATGCTAAGCTAAGCTAACATCCAACTGGCTGTTGCTTCATATTCACAATACAGACATGAGAGTGGTATCAATCAAACCACAATTAATTGAAATCAGCTTCAAGGATGTGATGAGGACGTAGTTACGTATATGTGCCTAACTGGCGACGGTTCTTTCACATTTACAAGAAAGATCCTTTACTGATCACTAGCTGTGATCGGTTGCTGTGATCAGTTGCCTTGAAGATTCATCAACATTCTTCTCACTCAAAAATGAAAAAAGAAAAGAAATGCACACAGAAACATGTCACATATGGACTTGGTATATGTTCTCATCACTTGATCCAGAGGACAGTCTCCTGCCAAACAACATCATTTATCTGTGTTTCAGTGCTATGATGTACCTTGTCCTGAAACAAATGTGGAAACACTAACCTTATATTTCAAACTAAATAAGTGTAAGGAAATTTTTTTATTAGAGATGCTTTCCCACGATACAGTGTATTTCTCCAGGTACTGAACTTAACAAAGGGATTGAGTATTGTCCAGATGATACTAATCCACTTTAATTACCGTTTCTTAGAGACTGCTCTTATAAAATTCTAACAACACGACTTTATAAACCTTGGACCTAATAAAATTTTTTTAGAAGCCCAAACAGGATGTTGATGTTTCCACCTTGACTGTGGTTAAGTGATGTGTAGCTACAGCTATTTAAAGCAAGCATATGTAACTTCTGATGAATGACAGCCACATATGGCAGATATTACAGGATGGTGTTATATTGAGTGCTAAAGTCATAAACTGACTCAGAACCCAGGTATTATGAGAAAAAAACGTGGGATTGTCATTCTAAAATAAATAGCAAATATTGAATCTACAGATAAGAGAAGCCAGTGTAGTGTTAATAAACAGCATAGACTCCTGACCTGTGGTTCTGTCTTTGAGGGCGGTTTTGCACATCTCTATTCTAGCAGAGTGGAAAGGAACATAACGGTCCTGGGGAGACGCCACCAGCACCACGTTCTTGAAGAACTGGAGCCCTAAAAGGACAAAAAGCAAACCAGCAAATGAGAACACATGGTGTAGTGTGTTTGATGGTGTGTGTGTGTGAGAGAGAGAGAGAGAGAGACAGAGAGACAGAGGAAAGGAGTGAATTGGATGTAAAACGCAAAGTACAGTCGCAAAGTACAATGACAGGCTTGATATGATAAAACTGTGTTTTTTCTCTAGTCTCCTGTCAGTGTGCTTTTAAGGGAGTGCACTGGTGGGTTTCCAATGACAGGGTTTGGATCATTTTGTCAGCCTGCCACAGCTCTGAAGGGGGAAAAAAGCGTTTTCAGGCTTATCTTCTTCAAGCCTGTGTGACAAACGACTGCTTTGTTCCACTCACACAGTGGGGAGGCCTCTCACAGGCCTCTCACAGCTCGCTGGCAGGGGTTTGAGTGTTAGCAAGCTGACATACACAGAAAATTTGACAAAAAAGACAAGATGACAACATTTTTATGAATATTTGAATAGACTGTCTTTCAAGTAATAGTCTTTAAAGTGAGGCAGTCAATACAGTGCCTCTGTTTCTAATTCGGCCCGCTTTCATACCCTACCTGGTTTCTGACTCAGGAGATAGAGGAATGTTTTCCGCGGATCAACGTGATCTCTGAAGGTGAGCTGCAGCAAGGATCCTGACTTCTTCAGCTTCTGCATCAACCACAGACCTAAGCAACACACACACACAGGCCTCATGCTTTATAAACACCAGGATGGATGCTGAGGAGTATGGATGGTATTCGAAGATAAAAAAAAAACGAAGAAGCTGAGGACGACAAAACATCCGAGTGCAGCATTGCAAAAACAGCACATCTGCAGTGTGCGTTTTCTCCCAGAGCTGAGCAGCGGCCTCACCTGTGCTGACCAATGTGCTGTTGTTATAGAGCGTTCCCAAGTGTGGGCCTGACAGCGAGAGGAAAGTGTGAAGTTTGGGCAAATAGCAGCGGAAGCGAGGCCTCGTCAGCACCGAGCGGATGATGATGTTCCCCAGAGAGTGGCCGATGAAGCTGTTGGCCGGAGACAAACAACTTTCAGAGAGATAAACTTGCAAACTTGAGTGGGCGGCTGGAAAAACAGTGCCTCCAACGCTGCTGACCTCTGACACTGTGCGATATCTTATTATAGACTCTTCTGTAAGAAGGAACTAGTTCCAGTGGATGGTATTTGGAGATTTTAGCTACAACATTGGTAATTACAGAAAATTCATTAACTTGCTAAATGTTTAAAGATTCTCAAAGGCAATGACAACTTAATGATGCTAACATGGAGAACACACCATATGAATTAATAGCACCTCCCCAGCAGTGGGAAATATTAGATTCATGAAGCCATGTCTGTCACTTAGTTTAATTACTGTACTGCTACAGCTCTCCCCAAAATCCCTTATCGCCGTGTCTGCTGCTTCTCATCTGTCTCCTACCAAACTGAATATAGAGGTAATGTGGAGAGAACCAGATGCTGTTGTGGCAGTCCATTGCTTTTGTCTTTGATTCTTTCTCTCTAGAGAATACGCCACAATAAAGAAAGTTAACAAACTTGGGTAGAAACTCTTACAAAAAAATAATAAATTGGCACATTGAGGGCAATTAAGCAGGAAGATGAATAGCTTAATTTGATGTGAACTAGGCAACACAGTGCTGCATAAAATGCCGCATAGTCCATCAAGTGAAAGTCAGAAACTTATTGGTACTGTATGATAAGACCTTTTCATCAATTTTGTGCCACTTATCTATTTAAAGTCTGTACAGTCTATATATTATCATGAAACAGTGACTCCTATAAGTTTGGGCTTTCATGCCAAGCACAAGCATCAATGCATAGACTCTGCTGCCATCTACTGTCCAAGCTCAATGCTGCTTAAGTCGATGATTGTCCCTGCTCTGACTTTGCTTCAAATAAACACTCAAAAGCAAAGTTGTCAGTAATGTGTGTGTTGCACGGTATTAAAGTTGAGTGACTGACCTTATCCTGCCTATGGTGAGATTGTACAGCTGGATATGCTGAATGATCTCATCCAGCAACCTGTCTGTCATGGTGTCGAAATCTGCAAATGTGTCAGTCTGCGGGGGAAACGGCAAAAAAAAAAAAGAGAAAAGAAAAAGAAAAGCACAGCCGTCAGCGCTCTACAATTTGCCTTAAAGCACTTTCACAGAATGCGACTGCGCGCGTTTTCAATTTGCTCCCCGTCATCTACAAACGTACCTGGTTCCTCTCAGACATGAGGAAGTCAAGCCTGGATCCTGGCAGGCCTAACTCAATAAAAGTCTTCACCAGCCGAAGGTCTGCGCTGTTTCCTGGGAGCAAGGAGGAAATTATACACACTCTCTGTGGCTCAGCTCTTGTGAAGAGCGCCCATTAATCATTTAAAAGACATTTTGAATGTTTGAAGAAATTAGTATTCACAGGCTATACAGTGCGATGCGATATTTTAAGCTCGTAGGACAGACTCTCAGAGACTGTATTACATTTACAATGCTCATAGGACACTGAAATCTGAAAAAAGGATGTACAGTATGCTGCGGATGTGTCTGTTCACTAGTCATTATGTTCTCGCGGTTATGCCGTATGCAGTCTCACCGTCAAGCCCGTGGACACACACCACAAGGTGTATGCCGTCGTCAAACTCCTCATCGTCCTCCTCGGGGGGGAAGTAGGGCAGATCTGATGCCAGGAGAGGAAGGTCGCTGTACAAGCTGGCCTGAAAGCTCAACTCTTTGAACAGCTCCTCTTTGGCTTTATAGAAACTATAGGAAAAGGGGAAGGATATTTCGACAAGAAGAAGATACAAGAGAGATTACATTCTGTATCTTTGCAATAAATTGAAAAAGAATTTCCCAGTAATGTGCAAAGACAAGCAGATAATATAAACCTTAAATTACACACAGTAATAAAATGCTGATCTAAGGTGTTGCACGAAAACTCCTTCTCATAAAAGGTGAATCCCTCCTAAAGTTTTCTCCCTTTGGTCCAAAACATAATGGAACATTACTTTGCATTTTTGTATTTGGTACATGTCAGTTCACGTTGCCCACTTCCATGCAAACCAAAACTTATGACCAAAAGTCTCGCAGACTGTTCTTCTTGAAGTTTTATTACCCTGTCATCCAGCCAGGTTACAGATTTTAGTCGTGCAGGAGTCAAAACAAATCCGATTCCAGCTCCTGTACTTTGAGCTAATCATGATGGATTTGTTTGCATACTCTTTGATGTGATTTAATACACTTCACCTCGTCTTGACTTTTCTCGCTTCAAATTTGCCCTCACTTCATTTTGTTATGCTAGGATTTCCAAGCATGAGTAACTGCCAACTACTGCACCAGATGTCAACAGCTGTCTCTGCATACCCATAAAACCTTTAGTTTTGGCCTTGTTTCCAGAAAGTTAGTGTGGATTATAATGTCACTCCAACAAAGTTTTCCTTAGAAGAGCGTCTGCATTTTCAGAAACATTATTGACAGCTGGGTCAGAAAGGCGTTACCCTCACCTGCCTCAAGATAAATAACTAACACATTTCAACATGTTTGAAACTTAAAAGTCCAACTGAAATCACATAAGCCATTCCCTTTTGAGGTCAACGCAACTTTCATACATAAAGTTAATATTTTTTTTTATTACTGTAAGGGAGAGAAAATGTCTTTGGAGGTGCATCAAAAATGCTCTTTTAGCGTCCAAGCCTCAATGGTCAGGCAGACAGGACCCTGAGACACAAAGTTGTGCTGCTAAGTGTAAAATATTAATCAACAGCTGTTAGCTTAATAAGCAAACAGCTAAGTTTTGATAATAGCAGTGACTGTGTTGAAGAATAACCATCTTGAAACTTGTTGCTATCTAGCATGCTAACGTCAGCACTTTCCCCCTGGCAGACGTTTGTTTGGTAGCTTGTTCGGCACGCTGAGGTTAAACAGAAGACAGGGAACCTGGCTTGTAGATAACAAGGGAGACATTAGCTAGAAAGCTAATGCTATGGTGGGTTCAGTTCACAGACTGTGGCTCCTTCTGGGTTGTGCAACCATCGTCTCTTTAGACAAAGGTATAGTGCTAGCCAATGCTAGCTAGAAACATGCTACAGTATGTAATTCTATTTGGGGTTTAAACCACATTAACGGCACAATTTGTCCTTTGCTAGCACTAAATTTAGCTAAAAGGTACACTCACTTTAGCATTCGTTCATTGGTCTCGTCATCCATGTTAAGGGGGTTTAGTGAAGATGAGGAGATGATACCAAAGGAGCCCAGGGGCTGATGCGTGATAGGTGAGGCTGCCTGGCGCGTGGACATGCCACTGATGGACGGAGAGTCTCTCAGAACAGAAGAAAACGGCAGACAGGTTGGGGCACAGGACACCGACATGTTCACCACCTCCACCATCTTCTTATTCACAAAGGCCAGCCCCGAGTTGGGGATCTTAGAGGACTTAGTCTGGCAGTCTAACGGCTCTTTCTCACCGGATGATATCCCATTGAGATCAAAGGATGATATATCACTGGCTGTAAGCCCTGTAAGGTCATTTGGCCTCTGTGTGGTGCTGGTGGTGCTGGTTGTACTGTTGGGAAGGTCATTGGAGTATTGAAGCCCTGAAGGCTCTAGTGGTGTTTGGGAGGGATCCAGACCCTCCTGCTCCTTCACACCATGCAGTTCAGTCTGATGGAAATGGTGGCACTCATCTCCAGTGTTAATTCTCTCCTCATCTGCTGCACTTTCATGCGCACAAGGTTTATTTCCACAGCTGCAGGGCGCTGCTTCCGATTCAATGAGATGCACATCCTCCACTGAGGCGCTCACTTCACTGATGTGTGCTTGATGGTTAATATTCTCCCCACAGCTGCCAATAACAGTGCTTTCCTCCACATGAGGGCTTTCTACAGACTCTTGTAGAAGTAACACTTCAGACACACCACAAAACACTGTCTTGGGTCTGTATGTCTCCGACAGGTACTGTGAAGGATTTGACTTTTCAGAGCTAACACTCTCCTTGAGATTATGGCCAAGATTTGTAATAGAACTTGTGTCTAGTAGAGACGACTCAGATTGCTCTGAATCCACGTTGCTGATCAAAGAAGAGCAGTTGATCTTACATGAATCCTGGTGCCGCACTAGGCTCTTAGTATCTGCTTCCTGGTTGAGCAGCACATGGTCCTCCTCGGTGTCTTCTGGGCTACTTATCTGTGGCGCTGAGACCGACTTGGTCAGTTTGCTGAGCTGCCTCTGGTGCTGGTCCTCCTCGTAGGGCAGGGAGCTGATAGAGGTAAGTGAGGCCTGTATGCCTCCACTTGGAAGGCTGCCGTTACTCTCCATCTGCAGGCCTTCCAGAGAGCTGCGGTGGACCGGGTGGCGACACACCGTTTGTTGTGGGAACTCCAGAAGAGGTCGACCACGCAGTGCCGCCTCCACGGGCCACGCTACCGAGCTGGGCTCACTCTCGATACCCGAGTCGGAAATAACAGAGGACGAGCGCTTCATGATTTTGGAGCCAATCAGGCCTCCACGGTGAGTCATCTCTTTCCTGAGGTCACCAGGAATGGGAGATATAACTGGATGAGCATGGGCCGTGGGTAGGCTGATGAGAGGAATATCCTCACTCTCATCATCCATGGAGTGATTTAATGGCATCGCAACGTCAGACTCTTCCTCGTTGTTTTCAACCTCTCTCGCGTTCTCTCTCTCGTTTGTGGCATCACAAGGTCGGATGGTGTTCTCGGTTACATGGTGAGCAGGGGACTCTTCACTGCTGTTAGCAGAGTCAATGAGGGGATTGGGGTCACAAGGCTTATCTGTGATATACCTCAACTCTGAGCTACAGTCCTCCGCAACTGGGTCTTGTTTTTCCGCTGGTTCCTTCAAGTTTTCCGCCTCTGCTTGAGAGAGTTCAGCTCCGTCCTCAGGAGGAACGGGGCTCTGGATACTTCTGATGCGGGTCTTTCTCTGCTCTGCTATAATGGAGACATATGTGGGCATGTCCATGCAGTCATCACTGTCCAAGGGATCCATGGGTATTGCTGGTGAACTGGCTCCTTGGCTGCTTTCAAGAATCCTATTTGAAGGAGTGATGGTGGGATCTGAGTTGGTCCGTTCTTCAGACGTTGCAGGCATTGGCACATGTGATACCCACTCTGGAATAAAAAAGGGACATTATAGTTTAACAAAAAAAAAAAAAGGAAAGCTTTTGCCTTTAGGACAACAGTTTAATTGACCTTTGATATTACCTGTTTGAGGAGACTCGACGTATCTGTCCTCGAAGATGATGGGCAGGCTGTTCCAGTCTCCATCGATGTCCAGGCACTCAACCGGTAAAGGAGGCATCTTGGTCAGGTAGTCTGAGCTCCGCACTTCTGCAGCTATCTGGCCGTGTCTGTTGATTCTGAATTGGGAGAGTCATATCATAAATGCCCCACTTCTCTCCATTCATGTAATGAATCCTTCTCTTTCCGAAAAGACGTTACTTACAGCTCCTCTTGAAAAGTCAGAGATATCTCTTTGGGGTGTTCGGTGAAGAAGTACGCCTCAGAGAACCTCCTGACCTGGTGGTTCCAGAAACACACAAAGCAGTTGTCACCATGGTGTTAAACGATAGGATGATTACTCAGTCGAGCATTCAAGGTTTGCACACTAAGACGGATTACAGTCACTTCCCGATCTTTCTCCTTCTCCGGCTCCTGTTAGAAACGCACCATCCTTGAAAGTCAGCCACTGTGACAGGCAAATCACCACAAACACTATTCTCGCTGTATTTCCGACCCACAATAATTAAAAAATAACTGTTAATTGAAATTCTAACTCCACTGGTGGGTGGCGGCATGGCAGTATCCCCTCGGGGTAATCTAATACCAAAGCAAACATGTTCATTATTTTCAGACAACTGAGACGAAACAGGGCCACAGAGGAGAGCCTTGTGAGCGACTCCACTGTGAGGCGTATCTTTATATTAAACAGCCCACTGATTAGATAGAAATAGCACTCAAAATCATATTAGCCTGCTCAGCTGGGTTTAAGCTACTGAGGTCTTGAATGGCGTCTTATCGTTTTGCTGATTCCCACTGTAGCATTTACAGATGCCTCTGACTCCGACTCTCCAGAGTTTGGTCAATTTAAGTCATAATCAGAGGGCGGATAGTAAGAAGTTACAGAAGTTACTCCATTACTTGTACTGGAGTAGTTTTAATGCAGCATATATTTAACTTTTACTTGAGGAGATTTTAAAGACAGAACATTACTTTTACATTACTTTTGGATGCTACTTTTTATTTTATTTTATCCATTCATGCACATTCTGTTAAGAGGCTGGTGGTCTGCTGATCCCAGGTCTGCTGGCGCTTTGTTATCCTATCCACATGAGACAAAGCATCCTTGACCTCACTGGCTTTTTCCACTGTTGGAGTGTGGCTTTCAAACAGCGGAGGCAGCTAATATTAACAGACCAGGGGACAGAGTGCAACGGTTGTGTTAATGCTAATCAATTTAATACTATATACAAACAGCATTATCGTGCTGTTTGTCTTCACATCATTGGAGATGCAGGAACTAGTGGATACTTCAAGGTTAAAAGTGTGTGTCTTTGCTAGACAGAAAATTAGAGACACAAATTTTTTGAAAAGAAATGGTCTTCCTGAGGTAAAAGTGAGGAAGTAAACACACAAGTATTTAATAGTATTATTGTCTTCACATCATTGGAGATGCAGGAACTAGTGGATACATGCACATAACAGACAGGGCCCATGCATCATGATACACTGCAACACAGGAGATAATAAACAAGAATGTAATTTAACATTTAAAATGTGCTCAACACAGTATAATATTTATGTGATTTTGTAATAACACTTGAGAGATACAGACTGGCATTAATGTCCTGGTGTATACAGTATGTAGCGTATGTATGTATGTAGATTATCTAATCAGAAGATGATGTCGTAACATTTAATCGCAAACTCTTCATAAATGCAGGTGTACGTTCACTTCCTTACCTGAGGAATACCATCTGTGGTTGACATTAACTCAATTATTTTTTCTTTTACTTCAGTTATTTGCTACTCAAGCTGTTTTGTTTTTTTTCAGTAGATACTTCTGTGCTCTAACTCTGATAGTTACTTCTAAAGTAACAGTCCAACATGGCGGTTCCTTCCTCATCACACTCGGTTTTAATGTTATTTTTACTTTATATGTCTGCTCAGAGATATCATTTCAGCGAGGTGAGACAATTTTATTCAATAGCTTGTGAGTCCTTTTAGAAAATCGGTCACAACGTGCCTTAGGGAGCTGCTTACAGTGCTGAAATGTCATTGGTTATGAAACCGTTTTGATTGTTCTATAGTATTTCTGTATTTCAGTGTGGGTGCTGAGGACGGAAATGACTAATTTTGAACAAATCGCAGTCTGTGCACTGTGATATGGAGGCCATCTAGACTGTGAACACAGAGAACACACGGTGAATGATGATGTCTCAGCATTGTATAAGTCTGCTTTGATGGTGTGCGATTCCCACCCTGAGCGTGTGGTGCTCCTGGGCCAGATAGGAGAGGATGTGGGGGTTGAGCACAGCGGCCTCCAGGAAGCGGCTCCACAGAGCAGCCAGCTGGGAGCAGAGCTGGCTCACGTCCCTGCTGATCTGCTCTGCTACCTTCTCATGGCCCTCCTGCAGCTGATGGGGACAGACAAAAAAAAAAAAAAATCTATATTCACATATTATCAAACTGAATGCATGAACCGTCAAAGACTTCCTAAAATACTTCTTGCATAATTCTATTTTAAGGATCCTTGGTTTTCTTGCGAATATATTTATACCCGCTGACAATAAAGTGTCTGCAATCTGCCAGACTTGCAGGTCTTTGGATCGTTGTAGGAAACTCGTGTTAAACGTGTAAATCAATCGGCCCATGCTGTTCTCTGTGTGGGAACAGCTGGGCCATCATATCAGTTCACAAATACATCAGCAATTGAAAGTCATGATTATTTAATGTCCTAATGATCCCCTTCATCACTTGACAAAGACACTGTATTAAGATGCAATCATATTCCATCCCTGTGAACTGATGACTCATTAGCTGTGTCTAAAGGTAAAATCCATTGTCCCGCAGTGTAGTAGCAAATACGGAGTGGCGGCTTTATTTATACAGGTGGACTCCAGTTTTGCTGTGAAACGGAGGATGATGCACTCAGAGTTAAACTGATTAAAGCCATGCAGTACCTTGAAATTCTGCATATATAATAATACAATTTTACATGCATTGTAGAGCGAAAATAGACGTCAAAATACAATTATAGTGAAATCAAAAACAATCCAGCTATTAACAACGACACCTGAATTAGACAAGAAATCCATCATGAGGCAATAGAAGTTGGTTTTGGACTGTAACATACCTGTAACTCTATTGTGAGCTGATTTAGAGTCTCTTCTACAGGCAGCACCTCTGTTGGAAGAAAAGTTATTTGCAGAGCTTAGTGCAAAGGATTTCATTACACTGAGAACAGGGTAGCTAAAAATGTGATGACACAAAGTGATATATCTGAATCTTTGCAACACTAATTAGGGACCAAACATACGACCAATTTAAAATCCTGAATTAAAACACAAAGCTGTAAAATCATCGCTTTGGTAGTGAAGACTAAAAATATAAAAGTAAATTATGAACGAGGACGAAATTAATAAAAAAAGAAATTGTTAAAGGCCATAAAATCTTACTGTGTGCTATTAACCAGTCAGCACATTTACTGAAGTACAGTATTGTATTTCCATTATCTGTTACTTCACACGTGTACTCCACTACATTTCAGAGACATGTATTTTCCAGTTAGTCGTTACGTTTTAGATTATAGTTTTCATCCAAAACATTATTTTATTTTTCCTCTATTTTTCCAGGAAGTCCCATTGACTCTTTTACAAGAGAGACCTGGCCAAGATAGCAGCCATACAAACACATCGTATATTAAAATACAGCATAAAGCATAAAATACTACATATACACATATATGGTATGACAGCAATTACCACATTCTTTATGGTGCCCTTAAAGTTCTCAGTGGATATAAATTTATCTAGTTTTAGATCTTTCTGCAGATTATTCCATGTCCAAGGTCCATAATAAGAAAATGCAGTTTTCCCCTGATCTGTGAAATCTCATAAAACATGATGCAGTATTAAAGATCTACAGTAACTACCCAGCAGTATAGAAAGTGATTAAAATCAGCTTCACATAAACTGGTAACAGCAGTAAAATATTGCTGTTAAAACCTTATTCAAAGTAAACTGCTGAATGCAGAACGTTTACAGTGTACAGTGTTTATTGGTGCTTTTACCTCAGTAAACAATGTGAATACTTCTGCCACCACCACCATCATCAATTAATCAAATTAATCTCAATAATGAGACAGAAAAATATTGCATGTATTCACCCGAGTCTAGTGGCGTCTGCTGCAGCTGTGGGATTTCCTTCATCAGTGCGGTGTAGTAGGTGTGCAGGCCTCGGTGTGCCACCAAGAGGAGGCGACAGAGCCTTCGGTGCCACGTGTGAGCTCTCTGCAGGCAGTTTTCACTGGGCACATAAAAGCTCCCCTGCGGAGAAGGAGACCCAGAGGAAATGTCAGCTGCTATGTAGGTCAGCAGTCACCCCTCAGGAAAAAAATGGCCTGCCTTAATAACGGACATGAACATACTTGAACTTTACAGCCTCCACTGCAACAGTTGTGTAGGCTTGTCTCTGACCTTGTGTTAAAAGGAGCTTGTTTCTGTATCGGCGGCAAAGTCGTGACAATTACTTGGAAGATCAAATACAACTTTAGAAACAAATGGGCCCTAAACACAGCTTGCTGTGAGCTGTAAAAAGCAGATGAGGATGTAACGCATCCCTGTTATGACCTTTAAAAGATCACAAGTATGGGACGTTGACCCAGAATCCAGAATGTCACCGTTTGTCTCTGGCTTTTATAAGTAAGAGAAATAAGAATAAGTGTTTATAACACAGACAGCACGAAAAGTGAAGATCATATTTGTTGAGCTAAAATCATGTGTTTAGAGAAATGTATGATATTCTATCCAAAGAAGTTCGTTCATCTTTCCAACCTCTATTAAAGATTTGGGGGGAATAAATCTAGGAGTAGTTATATATGAAAATACTTGATTTGATTTGATTTATTTATTTACACACATAAAACACTACAAATACGTTGTATATAGTTGTTTTGTTTTTAAGGAGAGAATGTGCAGGTGAGGTAAGAAACCCATCAAAGGCTTATCTTAAACCTCATCTCAACACACAATAAACTTTAGATTATACAAAAGGAGAAAGAAAGAAAGAAAGAAAGAAAGAAAGAAAGAAAGAAAGAAAGAAAGAAAGAAAGAAAGAAAGTGAATTCAGTTTACTGCTTCACTGCATCAGTTTTGAAAATAGAATTTGGTCTACAACACCTTCTTTCTATTCATTAAATAATATGCCCGAAAAAACAAAACAAAACAAAAAACGCATTAATTAATTACAAAAAGAAAAAAAGAATCTCCTCCAACTTTTAAAATGTTCCTGGAACAAGTAGCTGGATTTTTAATTTTTAAGATATACAGTAACTACATCATAAATTAAGGACATGTGATATTTCTGTTAGCTACAACTCTGCCAGTGTTTTGTTTCTTTACTAAAGTATACTGCAGTAAGTATGTATGTGTCTGCATGTGTATATGGGTATGTATATATATATATATATGCAACTTTTTGTTTACCTGGGTGCATGGAGGTGAAGGGGAAGGGATGGGGAATATAAAGATACTCGGTGTACTGTTAATGTTTGTAGGTTCATCCACTGGTGTTTGCTGATTACACTGATTATTGTGGCATAGAAAGATGTGGAAAAAATCATACGCTGAAACATTTAAAAATCGCAGCTGAAGGCGCCAGGTAGATTGATAAGGGAGCAGAATATCACTGGAGACAAAAAGCTCAACTGCCTTTGAGTGAATTAGCTAAATATGAGCTGTAATAAGGGCCGTGTTTCCAGTAGATGGCTCTCTAACAGTGCAGCAGAAACATTAACAGCATTTTCCCCACTGCAATTTACAGTAGGTGTTGGGTGCAAAAACAAGTCTCTGTCCACAAAGCTGCAATTCATCTCAGCCTCGACGCTTTAATCATGTCACAATCATTGATCTTCCTGAAGAGCTAACGGGCCTTCTGCTCAAACAACTATCATTGTGCACATCAGCCGTCAGAATTTAGAGCCAGGGAGCCTTGAACGTGACCAGAGACTGCCCTCGTCCGCTGGTCCTTGACCTGAAAGAGTCCAGCAGAGTTCTTCCCATGGTTGGGATGTTTGGGCAGCGCCGGCGGGGCTCGGAGCTTTTGAAAGGCACGCAACGCCTGAGTATCTGGGGATGTACTGTAATTTGCCCCGAGCAACTCAAGTCTCCGGCCCTATCATCATACCTGTGTGCGCTCTGTAATTGCAGCATTGCAGTATACCCAAACCAGGAAAGAACATCTGTATGTTTACTTTCATAATTCTCTTTAGCTTTATAGAGGCCTGCCAGGATCAGTCTATGAGCGAAGGGCAAAGAAAAATAACTATTTTTTTTTTCTGTATGGACTAGTCATTATCCTACAAACATAGTTTCTCTGCGAGCTGACAATGCTTGGGATGTGCCCCAGTTCCAACTCACCTGACATGAGAATTTCTGCTTTTGATTGTTGCTGTGGATGCATTTTTCACAGCGTGTTGTGGTATCTAAGCATTCAGTCAAAGAGGGTTTGTAGTGGTAGAAAAGAGCTTTTTTTTCTGGCATGATCTCTTGAGTTGTTATCCTCAGAATCATGTTTTTGTTCCTCCACAGACACCAAAGATTCTCAGGTGTCTTGACTTCTATCAGCATCTTTTCACACTCAAAATATCCTTTTATGCCGCTGAAGGACCTTTTTTTCCTTCCCTTTGAGATGTAACAGCTGATATCTATGGAAATCTACAACAAGCAATTTCTTTTCTTTTTTTCCCCCAGAAATAACAACATAACACTTAAGAGGACATGGCTTGGTGTTAAGGGGGGAAAGTGCTGAAAACGAAGTGTATAGCCGCAGGTAAAAACCTCTAAATAAATAAAGGTGAAGGAAGAGGCGGCGGCGTTGTGTGCGGATTTCACCTGCAGCAATGTGGTACGTGGCGCTTGTGAGCAGAACTCATTACTGTGATCAAACGAAACCCCCCTGCTTGGCTAAACGCAGAGCTTATTAAAGTGCCCAGCCAGGGGTGGGAGTAAAAACCAGGAGGAGGGAGGGGAAGGGGGCAACCGGGGCGCTCATTAAGATTTACAGTGTAGACTGTGACGTCCGCAGGGACCTGAGAGATGCATGTTATATGAGGGTAGGAAAAAAAAAAAAAGAGGACAACTGTACATACAGCAAGTTGGAATAATTGGCAAACACGAGAGAAAAACTACAGGTAAGAGGTGATTTGATTAAAGATCATGGCTTCATTAAGAACCAGTTACAGTGGTTAGCTGTGGAAAATCATATGTTCAAACTTAAACAACTTATACTGACTATTGCAATGAAGAGACATGTAGTTAACAGTCCAGAAAAACAGATAATTTCACATAGACCATCACTATTTGTATTGTATATATTTATATTTTTCTATAATCTTTGTTCACATTTTATTATATTTTATCTTATTGTTAAATTGTTTTATATATGTTTAAGATATCTGAGCTGCAGTACTTGTTTCATCTTTGTTTATATTGATTTTCTTCTCATGTTTATTGTCATGCACCAAAACACCAAAGCAAATTCCTTGTATGTTGAAAACCTACTTGGCAGTAAACCACATTCAGATTCAGATTCAGATTCATAATAATTTACATCAAAAAACTGAATCAACATCTGCAAACAAGAGCAGATTACGTGCCAAGTTTGTTTTAGCAGCTTCCTAAAATGATTTCAGTTGTTAACTGTTTGTGCGACAAGATTTTCCAGCTGCGCAGAAAGACGTGGAACTGTTTAGGTAATAAACCTGTAATGAAATATTTAAGCACATGTAAACTAAAACATCTGTAATACTGATTAATAATTATGATAACAGTAATTGCATTATAATTTCTGTCATCATATAGTAGTATAGTGTGTAAATGAGCATAGAGGCTTGAGAGGGAGGTGACAAGACTACACCATCATTTCCAGTGAGAGCTACTATCACTTCCAGATGCGAGGGCCGGAGCCTACATGCCCGGGCAGGTGGGTTAATCAGATATTATGAAAAGCCGCGGTGCAGCACAGTAATAATCTCTGTGTCGGCCTCTGGTCTTTAAGCCTCCAAGACTCCACAGAGGCCAGACAAATGACCGATTCCGAGGGACAGACAGGTCCAGGATCTGTAATCCTAGACCAGAAAGACTCTCTGCTCAGCTCTTGGGCTGAATCCTGTTGCCTCTGGATGACAAGCCAAAACAAATCACAGCTAAATCCACCGGCCGCTAAACCGAGATCACGTTTACGTCATCACTTGGCATTAGGTGCTTGCTTCCAAAAAAAAATTAAAAAAAAAAAAAAAAAGGAACAACCAGCTGAACTGGGACAACGCCCGGCTCATTTTGAGACATTTTTAAGCTTTTTGTGAAGCAAAATGGGCTTTGACTCTGCGTGACTTTCTATTGGAACACTGCTGAACACCTAAAGGTTAACATACCTCAGAGATGACAGGCTTGCAGTAGCCAGCTCCGAACACGAGGTTCTCTACAGACATGGCAGATGGGTCGCTCGCGCTCTCTGGCGAGCCCTTACCCAGCCAGGAGCCCTTCCCTGTACGTGCAAAGCTGGAGAGAGAGAGAACAGGGAGGACACATGCAGGGACAAACCATGAGTGTCGTGTGTATGTGTGTGAAGGAAGACAGATAAACTGAGAGACGGGAGCTGCTCCAATCAGTCAAGTGCTGCGGTAATCTATGTAATGCATGGCTAAAGACTGAGTTTATGATATTGACAGCCAAACTCATCAGGTAAGTGTTTGGAAAACTATCCATTAACGCAGCTAACCGATACACTCCTAACTGTGACTGCCAAAACAAATACAGCAGGGAAAAAGCTGTGTGTTCACTTTCTTGAGTTCTTCTCTGTTCTTGATATTCATGCAACTGCAAAGTATATTGTAGTTTACCTCAAAAACTCTGAATCTCTCGAGTCTAAACTGTTCTACAATTAAATAACCAACAACAAAGACTCATTCCCCCGATTTTTAAAACCATTCCCCCGAACATTGGTCCAATCATAATTTAGCAAACATAGCTTGGCACAGCAGGCCTGTCAAGCTTTGGATTTCTCCACATGCCAAAGTGGTGTGCATGGTGCTGTAGTAAGAGCAATACACTGCATGTTAATGAATGCCGAATGTGGTTTCTTGACGGGAGCGGGTGGTGGTGATTGTCGCTTGGCAAGAGTTCACAAGACAATAGGTTATAATACGTCCCCTGAACAGGGCTACGTCTTCGGGGCAGATTGGAGACTACAGTGAGTCGCTGTCGGAAAGTGGCACGACGGGCCAGGGCTAACTGGATAGCATGCTAACTTCATTAGAAGAAAAGACGTGATAGAGACAAGAGCTAACATTGGCGTTGCTTTCCACAGCTGGAGACAGCTCTTGGTGAGTAGAGGAATGAAGTTTGATGCTGAACTCTGGACTGGTGAGTAAACAGCTGCTAATGCTAATGCTGGCTATGTAGCAATAGCGAAACTTACAAAAAGTTCCTTTAGATCGCTCTGCAGTGAACTGCCTAGCATATCTGGCTAACAAACCAATTACCACAGTCTGACTGACTTATCTAACTTGCATAAGCATCAGTCTGATCTTACATTTTTCCTTATCTTACTTAAAATAAAAGGACTAATTAGCCCTACACTGCAAAACAAAGACAAAGCTGTCCTCTACACAGATCACTATACTGAGTTTTTTTTTTAGCCTGCTAAAAAACATTATAAATCCAACTAGAGACTGCAACTCATGGAACTAACATTAGTTTAATTAGCTAGCTAACAGCTGATAAACTCTGCCAATTGTCATTTCAGCAGGTAAAATCAATGGTTGCCAGTTGGAGTGGAGAAGCCTGCTTTTCTCTACATCTGCCTGAAACCCCGGACCCTTGTTTTCAGAAATTACTATGAATTTTGAGAGATAAACTGGCTGCTGTTACTGTAAACAGTATGTGCAGCGCAAGACTGAAAGGCTTGAAATTGTATAGCAGCACTAAGAGCAGAGCTTAGCAAACAATTGGGTCCTTGAGATTACATCATATCAAATACGTGTTTGTGCTTTGTGTGAATTCAAAATCTGCCAAATGTAAATGATTGTTAAGCTCCTCTTAACTCTACCTGATTAGCGGCTGATGTAAGGCAACCAGTGAGGCATGTATGGAGACGGAAATGACGGACAGGTGGAAGTAGTCGAACATGACAGGGACGTGGTGGTGGAGGCCTCTCCGCGGGTTGAAGTGGAGGCTGAGGGTACGACTGCTGATCAGCGGGACAGTCATGATCTCTGCCAGCCTGATAAATGGAAAGAGAGACAGATGTTTCACTAGTACACAAATAACAAACACATTTATATAGCACTTGAAGTGATAAACTGCAAAACACTTGTTTTTGCTATTCTCCCCATCTTATTCCAAATATATCAAACACGTCTGACAACGGACTGAAAAAAATGAACACACAGTAAAAGTAGTTAACAAGTAAACACAACTAAAACCAACAGATAACAAAAAATCTATTAAAAATAGACTGGAGCTTTATTACAGTGCTAAAGTAATATCCAAAACTACAGAGAATTCAGATTATTTAAAGGACATTAAGTGATTTTATTGCACATACTTAAAAGAAATTTTTACATCTATTACCGCTGACCCTGGAGAGTTTGTATGCAGTATGCAGAGAGTGGGAGCCATCACTGACAAATATCTTTACCTTTTGTCAGACTTTTTAAAGATGTCTGGGAACGTGGACTCGTTCTCACAATAATCTAATGTTTTATTGTCCTCGCAGCTCTGAAAGAAAGAGTCTGAGAAAAAGTCTGAATCTTGACTGGAATGATAATGGAGACCTGGAAGGTATTCTCCAGTCACACAGACTCAGAGTAAAAGCAGTCAGAGTCAATGCTGTGATATAGAGAAGGTGCTCCATAATTCAGTCCTTGTGTAGTGTTGACAAGTACTATAATCACACAGGTATGACCAAAAACAGTGAAGGTTTAAACACAGAAAAACACAACAGTCACCACACTGCAGTAATGCACAGCTGCTGGTCGATACAAGGGCCGAGCTCCAACAAAAATCGTTCCTTTTGCAGTTTATGCTAATGCAATCTATCCATTTCTTCTTCTATTTGTCCCAAGCAAACAAACAAATCACTGTAATCATGTATTGTCAGCACAGAAGTTGTGATCAGGTGCTTAAAGAGATGGCTATGAGCCAAAGAGCATAATAGCCCTTATTCATGTCTAGTTTGCATCGGAGAGTCTAGTATTCTCTCTCTCTCTCTCTCTCTCTCTCTCTCTCTCTTAAAACACACACTTACACACACACACACACACACACACTGCTCAAAAACCTACTGTTGCTCATTGTCAGTGAAATGAAGATCCAGCTTCAACTGAAAGTCCACCTCACTCAAGGCTTCCTCCACCTGCAAAACATTGGTGCATTAGTGTCGTTAGTGCATGAACAATACAGGAAAACGGTGACATGGAGGGGCTGGACAAAATAATGAAAACACCTCTGGACTTTTCTTATTAAATTGAGACACACACTGTTACAACGACGCGTCATGTTTTAGCTTGAATTCCAGTTTGGGTATTCATTATTATTTGTGAGTTTTCGACATGACTCAGCAAATAAAGCTACAAAAAGACCCGATCGGTTTCGCCGAGGAAATCTGTTTATGTTTAATGGGTTAAATTTAGCGCAAATTTTTACTGAATGTTCAGAAATTTTGAATCAATGCACATTCTGGTGTGTGAACATTAGGACTGGGGCACATCATTAGTTGGTCAACAGTTGGTGATCCTAATTCTCCATTTGGGTGCCATTACAGCACTGCAGAAGAGGAAACAAGAAGACGATGCAATTAAAAGAGCATTAGTTCCTCCTCAAATTATCTAAGACCAAGTGGAAAAGATGACGCAAATATGGCATTTCTGTTTATTTCACATTTTAACTCAAGGAAGGTTACAGTCTCCTCATCACTCCGCTCAGATCTGGTGTTTTCATCTGCCCCTTTTGTTAGTCTCTCGAGTGGAGAAGAGGCTTCAGTGAATGTTAAAGTGCTGAAAGTGTCTCTCTCCTGCATCTTGCTGCTCTCCGTCTGGACATCTTCACCTTTCTGCACTCCTTCCTGACTGAACAAGCTTTAGGATTATTCCTTTCAACTGACAGGAAAACAAATCAGATGTGCAATAGCAATATAGAAGAAAAAAATATATAATATAAATATATAAAAAAAAAGGAAACACTTCTGTGGTAATATTCAAAATATTTACCACTAACCAACGACACACAAGTGACAATGCTGAATCCTGTATTTCCCTGGCTCAGTATCTTACATTTCAAAAAGACCTACTGCGGATCTTGCACAGAACCCTGCGCTTTGATTAACAGAAAGGAAGAAAGGCTCAGGTATTATGTTACATGTAAACTGAATAAATGTGTCTGTGAGAGCTCTCTTTGCATAACGAGTCATTAAAAGCTTCCAAAAAAGCTCCTTGACATTGGTCTTCCAACTCTCAATAAATCTCCTTTGGTGCTCTGGTGGTAGCGGTGGAGAGCCCTCACTCTAAAATATCCCAGAGGTATTTATATATTGTATAATCTACATAATTTTAATACTCATTAAAACCTTTTGGTGACCCCCTTTGTGGCCTGTGTGGACACATACATGCATCCCTTGTGTTCCTCCACTCATTTATTCATGTTTTTCCTTTTAATTTCTCACTCATCAGTATTTCAAACATGGAATCAATTAAGAGGAAGAGTGATCACGAGTATTCAGCAAGAAATATGGTGGCTATACAGTACACTTGGGTGTAGATGAATACTGCTGTTTGCCATGCAGCCGACTGTGACTGATCTTGTTTGCAATGCTGATTCTGCCACTTCAAAGTTCTTTTTTAATTTAGTGTTTATGTTCTCTGTGTGGGCTACAAACTGTATCCCTGCATTTCTTTTAATCCAATCTGGGGCTGAACAGAATTGAATCGCTCTCATGTTCAGAGTGACACGGACGATCACGGTGCGCCTATTTAAATTTGAACAACAAAGTGGCAAAATAAAAAAAAAATTAAAAAAAAGGTACGAGCAAACAAAGGCGGCGCCGACAGTGGATGTAATGGAGTCTTTTGAAGATTGAGATACAGCGTTAGCGTCGCCGGTTATACTACACAGTTCTTCCTCTCTTTCTCCTAAAATTAGACCAAAACACACATATAGTAAACGTACAGATCTGCAGTTCTGTCCAATACTGATGTTCTCATTGATTAAACATACATGTGGGTATACATTGGGGAAATGAGGGGCTATTTTTGTCTGTGCTATCTGTAGCTGTCAGCAGCAGATAACCTCCGGAAGGTTAATGAGCGGGGAGCCTTTGGGAGAGCTTACAGCTGAAATGTGATATGCCTTTAAGCTCCTCTGTCTCCATACCTTTACATGAACATGTACAATTGGGATTCATGCAAAGTCGTGTCAGAGAGAATATCCACATTGTGACTGAAGCGGGGATCCTTCCCCAGTTAACCAGGCGTCTGCACTGTAGACATGTGTCAGACAGCAGATGAGAGATGGCGCAGAGTAATGTCAATGTGTGAGCTATGGCTATCATATGGATGATTAGCTTCGAGAGAGGGCCATCTTAACTTCTCCACATCTCAGCCTCGGGGCCTGTCTCATCGCTGTCACTGCTGATCAATTTGAGGTCTGGTGGCTACCAACAAAAAAAAAAAAAAAAAAAAAAAAAAAAAAAAACCAACAACAACGAAAACAGGCAGAGTGGATTTTTGGGGTCGCGCCCACGGTTAAACCGCAGAAGACAGTACATCAATAACTGTCTGACAGGTTTACACGCCTGATCATTTGAGCTGAACACGGGCAGTCTGGGGCAAAGGCAATTTGCATTTGTCTGTCAATTAAAGCACATTAATTCTAAGAGGCACGTCATTGAACTCAATAATCCTTGTACTGATTTTATGTCTATAATGGTTACCACAGAGGAAATTTGCCATTCTGTGGAATTTGAGGGCTCAAACTCCAGCGCATCATTTCACCACCTTTTCGTAACCTGGTGTCCGGGGTATCACAAACATCTTGCAAGTAGGGACCCAAAGAGAAGGACAGGACCCTGGGCAGATGTTTGTCCCATGGACTAGCAACTGATGATGGCTATCTTACCTCAAGAGTCTTTAAAAGCCTGTGTTCTCCACCACTGATGATCAATCTGTTTATGCCTATATTTACTTCAGTTTCTGCACTTTGATGAGGGGAGGGGCCATAGTGTGTCTGTGAAACATAGCAATCAATTGTTCCCAGTGCGGGGATCTGGCTCCATACCTCCTCCAGAAGCTTGAAAGCTAAATCTGAGGGGGTGCATAATGATTAACAGGAGAAATCGGGAGATTGGCTCCCGAGCCTCTTGTCTGCTATCGCTTTTGCTTTATCGTCAAAGCACTTTGTAAAGTTTGTTTTTAAAAGGTGCTATGTAATATTCTTTGATTTTTTGTCTTTTGTTTTCTTTTCTTTTTTGTTTTCAGTTTCTTTTTCTTGCTATGCTGTATTTCACAGACCACTAACAAATTATGGTCTAGATATGATGCAAATTTGTTACATCAACATGCTAACATGATCACTATGACAATGCTAGCAGGATGATGTTTAGCAGGTATAATATTTACCATGTTCACTGTCTTCAGTTAGCATTTTGGCATGCTAACCTTCACTATTTAGCACTAAAACAACGTACAGCATCAGTTGTTGCTGAGATACATTAGTCAAGGCTAACAAACACATTAAGCATGGCTTAAGAGTTTAGGAATCACTGCTTCAGATTACTCAAGCATCACACACATTAGCTTTAAGCATATACACATATATATTTGTTGATAGTACGTTCAGAGTTAGCATGTTAACGTTACCAATAAGGTCCCCTGAATTTATCACTAGCTGCTTTTGAGAAACAAAGTTAGTAGGTATCTAAAGAGCTGCTAAATGTGTAGCGACAGATTCAGCTAGCCAGCAATAGTTAAAGTCTACTAAAAACATGACAGAGCAAGTATTATTATTATTCAGAATATTGATATTACTTCTTCACTTGTTATGTTAGATACAGTATCTGCTCTAATTAACTGGCTTAAAGCTCTGTGTTATGAGAAGACAGTATTGTTGGTGTCCAATGGTAAGAGCGGGGAAATGTGTAGAAGGGAAGAGAGGATAAAATGCATTCATTAATGGCCATTAATATGTTGTAAAGACACAAGCTGCAGCTATGGCACAAAACTGTAATACAGCTGTTTTCACTGTAATTATTCGTCATGCATTTTACAGCAGCTACTGATAAAATGCAACGAACCATATGGCATTCCCTATTCTCTCTTCTTTTTCTTTTTTTTAAGCCTTAACAGGAAGTGTGTGTGTGTACAGAAAATGTCACCAGCATGACTCACCCTTTCTCCGTCCAATAGCAGGTGGACTTTGAAGATCATACAGTCGTTCACCACAATCTCCTCATTTCTGTAAAGGATCTGAAATATCCGGCTGAACACGGTGCCGTCGTAGATCCCCGCGGAGCTGAAGCTGCATTCGCCTGAGTTGGGACACAACAGAGTGCACAGTGACTATCAGCTCAATGCCACAGCAGTATCACTGCAGTCATAATGTCACACAAATTTTATGTAATGTTGCATAAATGTCACACCATGCTGAGATTTTACGCCATAAAACAATATTAAACATGAATATTGGAGTTGTCTCTAATTTGGCAAATGCATCACACCTAATATTGTCATTATGTGCTCAGATTTTTAAATACGTACCCATATTTGAATACAGCCAGGCTAGCTGTTCCCCCTGCTTCCAGTATTTATGCTAAGCTAAGCTAACAACTGCTGGTTGTAGCTTCACATTTAAAGTTTTGTGGTGGAATCATCACAGTTAGTGGATTCACTCCTGGGGGGCAAAACGCCTGAGCTGAGTTCAGCTTTGGTGAACTTTGACCCACAAGCACCCTCGACCAAAAGCAAGCCGTCTCGACAGTACCGACCTCTTAAGGGGACAGAGTGCCCAAAATGGAGAAAGATATCATAGCAAGAGCTTTATTGGTATCTGTAGTCAGGAGTGCTTCTAAATCTGCACACATTTTCGAGCACAGCAAGAAGTTGAAAAAGATAGATTTTTATGTGCTGAACACATTTATGCATCAAAACTATGTGTACCCACAATTGTGGTGTTTTCGATTTTCCACCGTCTCCCATGTTCCAGCTCTTTTGTGTGCGGTGTGTACTCTTTGCTACTAGCGCATTCTCCCTGGCAGGACTGCAGTCACTGAGGCAGAGCTGCTGTCCAGCTGGGAGCTGTGAGAGGTCTTTGAAATCTCCTGCTGAGGTTGTGCTCTTTTCTGTCTCATTCCTACTCTCTCTCCCTCCGCAGGCCTCCCCCTGATAATGCTGTCACTACTTGCAGCATCAAGCAGCCCCAGCCAGGATGACGTGGGATGTGTGGGAGCCTGACTGTTGTCAAAGACTTGGTGGATATGTGACAGAGACGGCGTAATCCCTCCGGAGATGTACTGTATGTGGACAGAGTGGCGGCTTGGTGTTAGCCCTGACCCCTCAGCCCTCGTGTAACTTTTTGTTTCCCTGTATTTACCTGGGTTTCTGTCCAGTGGCTAAAGAAAGTTTAGGTTCAAGACTCTGAAGTGTTCAGAAGAATTATCATAAATGATTCTGTGTGTGTTTGACCTGTGAGGGAGTTCAGACCTCGCCCAGGTGCTCCCATGCCCTCTCTCATGTGCTGTGCAGCCAAAGTCACAAAATCAATGAACTATAGCTGCTGCAGTTGCCCCCGCCATTTTTTTTCCCCACACTCACACAATACTGTACTGGTTTTGAATGCCTGTTTGTTTTACTGCATCGATTAAACATTACACCATGTGCCAGGGGAGCGGAAGTGATAAGAGATTGATAACAAAGCTGCTTTGCTGAGCTCTCCGCTTTGACATTGATAGCTGTACTACTTGCATACAAGAGGAAAGCAAGGACAGCAACACCTGTACAATATACAATGTAATACAACCCACTACAACAGCCTGCACACATAGGGCCTTATATTACTATACTTTTAAAGTTAAGAGTTTAGTTGAGACAGAAATTGTTATTGTTGGAGTTTACACTTGAGTTGCATTGAATTTCATTGGTGTATTGTGACGTATACCTAATACTGTTCTCTCATGTTTTTCCGTGTTTTAATCAAAGCGAGATTCTAAAGGTTTGCCGGACATCAGCCACTGTGGCTACAAGTCGTATAAGTAGCTAATAGTCCTGCTTCACAGTAATCTGTGTCTGTATCTGTCTAATTAAAGTTTTATTTATTTATTTAGTCAATATAAGCTACAGGTCACCCCAGACCAAGTAACACTATAGCAGCAAAACTACTGACTGCATTTAAATGACCAAAGGTGTGTTTTATTACATATTAATTCTACCTTTCAAGTATAGAAGGAGAGATGTGTTATTTCTTCTATCGAAAATTGCACAGTGTCACTTTAATATCTATGGAAGACATCTGCCATTGCTGAAAATAAAATAAAAAATCATGAAAATAAAAATACCAATGGTCAAAAAATTTAAATTATAAGATACTAGTCACAACTGCAACTTATTTTAAGTCGTAGTCATAAGGTAAGTTTTAAAAAATGAGACAAGTCAAAAGACAAGACTTACTAACTCATATCTTATTCTTAGTATCTCATGGTTTTATGACATTATGCTGATTATGTCACTTGCTTTAGAAAGCTGTCAAGAATTTAAAGTGAGTCCAGTTGCACATGAATTAACACTATTTATTTTAAATATCATACAGGACAACAATTATAAAAAACAAATACTCACAGTCAATTATAAGTAAAAAATAACAAGGCTATTTGCTTCAAATTTGCTTTTTAATTGTTACTTATTTCGTCAAATATTTGGGAGTGAGTCAAAATAATGGCTTTTAATATCACCATTATGTCATAATAAGAAGAATTTAAATTCAATTAAATGAGAATCTTCACAGAGAGATTTAATCTATTTTCTTCTCCTGGCAGAAATGGCCTTCAATAAATGTCAGAGTAAACTACAATTTGCAGAAAGGTTTACCTCATTTTCCTGACACCAAAGTATGTTTAACACTATGAAAAAAACTGCAATGTTCAATAGTATTTCCATGCTGTTCTTGTTGGATATAAATGTGATTAACATAGAGTTTACTGCTTCCATTCATGTTTATAGTGTGTTAAACCAAGAGAAACACATCAAACCCGCCCTGTTCGTACATTTTGGTACACTGCAGTTCTCACAGGTGTTGGGGCGTTATCACATCCTGCACATTAAAACCTGCTGAAATGCCCTTAAGCTTTAGCCACAGTAAGTCTGTGCTGGAAATAATCTGCTTTTCAGCCTCTGGTGCTCTACATCTGGTGTGTGTGGATGTGTGTGTGTGTGTGTGTGTGGGTGTAAGTGTGTGCTAGTCACTCCCTATCAGTAAAACACACGAAACTCTCTACGCAGAGTTGTTCTTCATGATACCAATACGAGGGAGTATCTTCGTCTGCGCAGTTGGACCCACCGTAAACGGCAAATCCAATTCTGCTCGTTAACATTCAGACTTGAAAATCACCATGTTATTGTGCGTGAATCACAGTCATTAAATGCTTCGGTTGAGTGTGTGGCACGATCCTTCACACACAATTCATTTGTCTGAAGGGCACAGACAATTGAAATGTCAAGCATACACTTTCACAGAGAACACAGTAAGGGATTATTTCCTGTGTCAGTGTATGATGAATGTATTTCCTGTCGCTGCTCGGAGCGCTGGCTGGTGCATTTATGCTCAGGATTCAGCGCGTGAGGTGTACAGGCTTAATAGACGACCTTGTGGAAAGAGCTGCAAAGGGGGAGGGGAGGGGAGCAGAGGAGAGGAGGGGAGGAGGGGAGGGCCGCAGCCTTCCAATTACAATATGGATATGATCCTCACTGTAATGTTCGTTGCTGCAGTGTTCCTTATTTGACACACATGCCTAGTAAAATATAGGATTGCAGTCGGTGGATTATATAGATCGGCTACAGAGCGTTAGAGCAGCTACGAAAAGAAAGAAATATTGATCATGCAAGGTGAATCTAATAAAGTGACAATTTACCCAGGTTGATATGCATAAATCTTTAAGGAACGGTTCAGCAATTTTTGGAAAAGCTTATTGGATTTCCTTCTCTCCGTGTGTGAGATTGGAAGATAAAGAGTTGAAGGAGGAGGAAACAAGTAGCTTTGCTCTGTCCAATGTGGAAAAATATGTCCACTAACATCTATACAGCCGACTATTTTAAGATGTATTTTATTTTTGTCTTTGGTTGTTTTTATTTAACTTGTATAGATAATAAACAGACATTAAAAAAGAATTATTTGTCCAGTACTGTAGTGCAGCTATGGTGCGGCATGGCGTATAGCGTATGTAGCGTCACACCATCCAGCAGAACTGAAAGAATGTCACTTTTAAATTTCTATTCATGGGTTCAACAAAAGACATAATGTCAGCTTTTCAATATGTGGTTCCATGTTAAGGCAAATATTTTTTCCACTTTGCACAGAGCCAGGCTAGCTGTTTCCTGCTAGGTTTTATGCTAAGCTAGGCTAACCACATTGTTATTTCAGCTCAAAACCAAATCTGAACTTGAATTAATTTAGGGGCAGAAGAAATAAGGTATAAACACGGTATAAAACCACCTTTAATGTCCGTTTACACATCAAGCATTCATTTGGTGTGATGTCAGTTTAGCCCCGTCTTAGTCTTTACAAACTGAGGGAAATATCTGACTCTTTAGTGGCTAAATGTTTGCTGGCTAGTTGCTAATATTGCTGCCTCCTGCATCTGAACACAGTGCTGATGAAACCAGTGAGAATGAACTGTTGCTGGCTGGAAAATCAGAGCAATGAACTGACACTAATAAACTCCACAAAGCTGAGGGGAGCAGCAGAGTTCATCAATACGAGAGACCCCTTTCACATAAAAGTACACTCATGTGATCCACTGGTATTATTACAATATTGATTATAGCCACTTGAACGCATAGATATGTTATTGATTTCAATCTTCTGAACTCACTCACTGGAAAGAAAGCACATAAGTGTATTTCACAAAAGGTTTAATTACTTTAGTGTGTGTGTGTGTTATATTAACTGACGCAGATTTGTCTGTATTTACACAGTAACTTTGTTTTATACTGAAGCCTCCTCCAGCCGGACAATGCTCTACCTTCTGTTCTTCACCTGACATCATGTAAAACTGCACCTCCAGGATTTAATGCCCTAAAATAGACTATTGAGAGCAAGACTACTGAAATGCTATTTTTATCATTTCCATTGCAAATGTATTAATATTTTGGCTACTTAGGATTTCTTTCTCTCCATCCACAATGAGGTGAGGAAATAAGTCTTCCCTGCTGGTAGTCCTGTCGCTGTGTTTCTGGAGAAAGCGCTCGAAATGACATGAATCACTGTCACAGCTCAGACTAAGACACACTGCCTTCACAATAAGCCACCTCCCTGCCAACACACATGTACACACACACAAACTGCGACTCTTCTAAAGCTGTGAAAACACTGAAACTGATACTGAATCTCCATCGTAGCTTTTACCTTAAGCGCAGGAGCTAAATGCCAAAAATTAAAGTCCTGGTCTCAATAAAACTCCAAACTGAAGCTTAAATCACAGTCAGGGCCTAAATGTCCTCCCAATTTAAAACGTGCTCGCAGGAACAGTGGGCTGCAATGTCCTCACATGTAGAGCTAGATCACACACACACACACACACACACACACACACACACACACACACACGGTGCTCCAGTCATGACAAGCTAAAAATAGCCATTATTACTGTGAATCAGTATTGCCAGTGAAACGGCTTCCTGCATTGCCAAAGATCCAGATTTTAACGCTTGGGCAGGTTCAGAAACACTGTGTCGCAACCCATGAATACAAAAGAGGACAAGGCGTAAGGCATCTTTTATGACAGAAACCATCTGCAAGTATTTAGAAATTCAAAGATGTAAAATGCAGAGTGCACGAAGTAAAGTGCTGGGTTTATTACCTTTTACCTAGTGGGGTGTTTATCTGCAGGATTCTTGATTAAGAAAGAAAACCTTTGATGAAATTAGTTTTAGAGAAAATTATTTAAAACTTAAATGTTCCAGCCACAAATTAACCCCTTAGGCCCTCAGGTATTATTTTTTTGGGCATTTTCAGCTGAATAAAACTTACATACCCATCAGTAACAGCTCCACAATAATGAGGCAGAAATGAACTGGGGCTCTATGGATAAGGGAAAGTGGGGAGTATTTTAAAATGCAGTAAGTCTCCCCGTACCTATCGCCAGGCCAGAGTGAGATCTGCAAAACTCCAAAACTAAAACAAGGTGCTTTATTTTCACCTAATCAAAATTCTGAATTAGAGAGTGAACAATGAGTCAGTTGACACTGCACCTGTTCTAAAAACGCCGCTAAATGAAGCAGAGCTATGCTACATCCATTTTAGTCGTAGCACTAGACAGCCTCTCCATTTTAGCCATTTGGAGCCAAGTGTGCCAAAGAGCTTCTCTGCATCCTGACAGGTAATCTCACTGTAAAATCTTTTTCCATTTCCATTACTAAGGGCTCTGTGCACACAGTACACTCATCAGATATTTAGAAAAGGTGCCATATTTTACACTCTCCCTGTGATTTATTTGAAGTATTGATCAATAAGAAGATATATTTGTGGTTTCAAGAACCCAAAAACCATCTAATGTAGTTTTACATCTCCTCTCTCAGGCTTCTCTCTGGAGCTCTAGTGACAACAGGTCGGTGAGCCAATCAGAAGAGAGGAGGCTCTGAGCCTCTCTTCTGATTGGAACCAAGCTTTCCTTCTGTGGTCGAATAAAAATATAACAGATTTCAGGTAAACACTCAGAGAAACCAAATCCTGCAAGGTTTGGATGGTGGGTCCAGGCGGGCAGTGCTGGCGTCATGGCTGGAGAGTGGTGACCGCTTTGTTGTGACATCACAAAATGACAGAAGTCCTGACGGCTCATTTTAAGACATCGCTTTTGAATCTGGGCTGTGTGCATTTTGTCCATGGATTGCACACTATGATACTGTCACAGTCTTTATATAGCAGCCAGACCTGCTTTTTAATAAATAAATTAAAAAAAACATGGACATCTCACTTAATATGGGACCTTTAAGACACATCCAGCTTTAATCCTATTCTGCCATATTTAGTCTTAAATCCTTTATGACAAGAGTGAATGTTCCTCCTAGAAGAGAAACTCCAATAAAGTTTTGATTTGTTTCACAAATATCTCGACAAAATCACCCAACCATTACGAAGGAAACCAAGAACCAAGAAAACTAAAACTGACACTGATTTACAATTGAAACAAGTGAAACCATCTTGTACCCATTTGGTGTTGGAAGACTATGCTATTATAAATGCAAGCTATTTTCTGCAGTGTGAGTCAGTCAGTCTTCCAACCAGAGACAAGCCAAAAGTCCTAAATCACTGAGACAAGGTGGAACCATAAAATTCCCAGACACCACTCCCATTCTCTGATGTATAACTCCGAACGCTGGGACAACGGCAGGGACACACGTAGAGTTCAAGTTCAAGTTTTTGTCACACACACAATGTCAAGACAAAGGCAGTGAAGTGTTTTCCTGCTGTATTATATGTGTGTGTGTGTGTGTGTGTGTGTGTGTGTGTTAGTATGTATTGTTGTATATATGTTGATTCAACGTTATGTCGTTGGAAAGAATTGATTATCAACAATTAAAAATTAAGGTAAATCCACCAAGACTCAATAAACAGGTGGCAGAGCCTGATGGTTAAGTCACATACCAAATGACTGCTACATCCATGGTTTGACTCCCGGCCGGAGGACCATTGTTGCTTGTCATATGCCTCTCTCTCTCTCTCTCTCTCTCTCTCTCTCTCTCTCTCTATACTGACTATCAAATAAAGCCAAAAAACAATTGGCAGATGTCAAAATATGTGTTTGTTTTAATTTCCTCTGGCATCTGGGGATAGCTCTATTTTAAGAAAGTGATGTCTCTAGTCATTTCTCTCTTCTGAATCCACAGAGGTCAGGAATACAGCCAAGCCATGAAGGACTGAGCCTGTGAGACCACTTCAATCCAGAGACATGTTCATGTTCCCCATCCACATGATTCTAGCTTTAGCACAAAACATATAACACACAAGATTATTGTTTACACACACTTCAAAGACGACCGTAACCAACGCAGTGTGTGTAATTCAGACACAGAACGCCTGGTCGTGAAACGATTCCCTGTGTGAACTGAGATTTTCTCACACTCAGTCTCCTTTGGACGTTGCAGCCACTGTGGATGAAGCCCAACCTGTTCAAACATGATCTAGACTATAGAGAATAGTCAAGCCAACGTCATGTTTGAAGCCCACGTTTGATTAAAATTCAGCTGTTTGCCAGTCAGTGTTAATGCTACCGATGCTGTATGATGGAGAGTGTTTGGTTTATTGTCTTTGATATATTACAGTTCCTGTTTTTGTCCCAACTATTATTTATCTTCATTAAATATACATAACAAAATACATGAATGAATTACTGAACAGGCACAAACTTAACTTCAAAATGTTGACCCCCCCTGACCACTTTGGGGCCGTGGGACAAAGCCTCAGTTTGAAGTGGCTGTTAACATTTCTTGTTTGAAAGTCAAACCACAAAGAGAATGACCACACAGAGATCCAAAACAAACACACAGAGACACAAAATGACTGAGAGTTACTACAAAGAGATGCAAAATGAACACAAACACAAACAAAATGACTACGAGATTGAAAAAGAACCAAAACGAGGCTCGAACGAGACACAATATGACTGCAAAGAGACACAAACAACCACAAAATAACTACAGTGACATGTAAAATGACACTAAGAGACGTGAAACTACCACAAACATGGACTAAATAACGCCAAGCAGACACTAAACTATCACAAGATGACGACAAAAAAGAGACGCAAAATGAGCTCAAAGAGATGCAGAACGACCACAGACGGAAACCACGGGAAACAACGTGGCCCATCCATGACTGAATATGAGTTTTGGTCTGTAAAACCTGAAAACCGTCACTTTTCAAAACAGCTAGCAACAGGTTCATTTAGCAAAAGTGCAAAAAAACAGATTACGATTACTGAGAACCAATATAGAGAGAAGGGAGCTTATCTGCAGATAAGAACGAGTATAGCATGGACAGACTGATGAAGTCTATGTGATGTCTGAAAATATTATGCATGTGTGTGTGTGTGTGTGTGTGTGTGTGTGTGTGTGAGAATGTAAACTTTACTTTGTCTTACCTGCATTGTCTTGTGTTGTCGCTATCAACCTGTGGGGCACTCGAGGTGAGACCTTCAGCCCTGCACGTACCTGGTAGAAACTGAGGGGAGGATAGAAACAGAACAGTCTCACTTACAACTGCATGAAATGAATTTAAATATCTCCAAATGACCTGAAGGTATCAATGAAATAAATCACATCAACAGTAAAAAAAATATACTCTACATGCTGATATTTTTTACAGATCTTTTTAATTTCACCCTTTCATTTTACCGAGTCACCTGTTGTGGACGGACATTTTTCACTGATGATCATATTTGACACTGGAGCCAGTTAAGTTGCAATTTACACCCATGTCAGTTCAGACCCGTGTAATATACTGAATGTTGTGAAGACTCTGAAGGTTTTAAATAAAGATTTGAAGTGTCATAATGTCATTTATGGCCGAAAACCTCAAAGTGACCTTGACCTTTGACCACCAAAATCTAATCAGTTCAACCTTGAGTCCAGTTTCAAATTGTGGAGATGTGTGCAGGTGGAATATGGGATGCAGGTTTTTACATAATAATTTTGATGAGTGCAGCTTCAAAGCTTCAGGAGTGCTCTTCATGACATGCATGATAAGTTAAGAAAGTCATGTTAAACAAAACCATCCATGTATTGTACAAATGTAGCTAAATTATTAAAGGATAAAGGGCAAATGGTAATTAATAATGAAAAGGACATAATAATGCACCTCTATTCAAAGGCTGTTAAGTATAGACTGTATATGGTATCAGATGGCTGCTAGAATTTTACATTTAACATTTAGAGTGAAAGATGAAAATGTATTGATCCACGTTGGAAAATGAGGTTATTAAGTTTATTGTAAAGCAATAGGATAGATAGATCCCAGGAAGAACAGGTTGACTTATGTATGGATTGTTTACGTGGCACTCCAGACGACAGGCGGCAAAGGAAACACATCTTTGAAAAGGTCGCTTTGGCAGTTCAAGTCAATGCAGCTTTGTGTAAAAGCACATCTCAGCTCTCCGGGGACACATCGGCAGTCTGAGAGACCAAAGCGTGGCCGTGAACACGGTCGTCACATCAGTGTGTTAGCGACAGCGCGCCTAAAGATGGAGACCTGACAGAGAAGAGCACGGAAAAAGGTTTTGAAGGTTGATAAATAAATAAAGGGCTGTTTATGGAATGAGACTGGTCAACTCAGTGGATAGTCACTGGTCAGAAGCTGATCCACTACCTCCCACAGCAGAGAGACGTATCTGTGTGCTCAATGTTTATAGTTCAATAAACTTTACTATTATTTACTTTAACTATTAGGTGTAAAAGGCTGTACGGACGCACATTTAAAATATTTCTTGGTAAACAGACGCTGGAAGAAAATCGAAGTTATCAGAAGTTTACATTTTGTTTGCACAGATAGTGGAATAAACAACATTAAGGAAATGCACTTGGGTTTGTGATTTAAGTATCTGAAGCAATCTAGCGCTCTGACTTTGCCTCCATTAGTGGAAACTAAAAGTGCTGTGCTTATTGCCATTGCCTTCTTTACAAATCAAATGCAGATTTAATCACTATTTTTAATGCAATCAGTGTACAACTGGGGCCTTAAGTGTACAGTTGCATGGTCCCCAGTCTGGTGCAGGGATTAGTATTGATTTCAGCAATTACATTTCAGTGTGGGGAGATGTGCAGGTCCTGGTAACTGAACTATTCTTATTCCACAGCGCTTCATTTTTTACATTCAGGATCCAATTCTGTTTCGTTTTCGCATCAGATCTCTGCTGCTGCAATCCACAGCAACATGGGAACCAGTAAAAACAAACATATTAGTGCACTCAGCTGAGGGGATTACCATGATAAAGCTCTAGCCCTGCCCATTTGAGGGGGGAGAATCATTTTGATAAAGCTGGTGTTTCAATGAGCCGGAGGCCGACCAGATGAGAGAATTTAATCTTCCTGCAGACGCATCATGGCAGGATAAACATGGCCCTTTTTTTTATGGCATGGAATATCATGGAAAAATAAACTGGATAAGATAAAATTTTCATTTTAGTGGTTGCATTTGACACTCCTTGTTAATCTGCATGAATGTGTCTGTACTAATTCATATGTTTTTGCCTTAAATGTGCAGATATAGAGAGGTAATGTAAAGCCTCCATTTTAGACCTTTTTGGGCTCATTGAGCATGAATGAATATAAATAATATAAAATGTACATTTTGCACTCTGCATTTGGATAATTTTTAGGTTAAATAAAAAAAGGACAGCTTACTTGGCCACACGAGAGTTAAAAGCACAGTTAGCAGCTACTAAAAAAGTGCTAGCTAGCTAGCTACCTTTCCAGCAGTCTCAGATTAGCTGGTGTTTTTTTATGTTTTTCTTATTTTTCTCCATCGTGTTTAGGTTTAGCTGCTGCTTCACTTCTGATGAACGACAAATCACAGTTAGCATTTAGCTGTGTATATCTCACCTGCTAGCTTATACTTGATATAATGTTAGCTAGCTCTCTCTGGCTTTAGCTGTGTGTGAGTAGATTAAGTGTGACAACTGCTTTGTGAAAGTATCTTGTACGTGACTATAAAACCATTCGTGCTCAAAATCATATTATCTTTACATACTTGTTCTTTATATATGATACATGAACATGATAACAGTATTATATTAGCGCGCCATGTAACATTATCATTTTTTATCCTTCCTTTTATATTCATTCTATAGAATATGAAGGAATGTGATTTTTCTATTATGAGCAAGTTGTGTAATGTTTTTTTCTTTATCGTTTTCATATTATGAGAAGTTACTATATTCCTTTATATTTTATTTATGCTTTATGTATGTTGTGTTAGTGTGTTCTTTCCAGCGTGCTTGTATTAGGTCTAATATATGTGAGGCTGATGCTTTAAGATATTGGCTATAGATCTGTTATTAGTTAATATCAGCTAAACCGATTGTTCTCTTGAAAGACGTTAAAAGTGAGTCATGTTGTTCAGGGGAAAAAGGAGAAATATGACACTCTGCTTTCTGCTTGTGTAAGTGAATATTCCACCATAATGCACTATATATACTTTTATGCTCATTGACGACGGTGCTTTGTGTGATTATTATGGATGATATTCATTCAATTTCCATAACAGCCCCTAGAGCCTACAGTTGATTTTCTCCATTTTGTGGTTACAATAAATTGTACATGCCGTTTCCACAAACGTCACACATTTCCATGGCATAATTTTTTTATTTTGCAGGGCAAATGTCAGAAATTGTCACAGTTCAGTCACATATTAATTCGCTCTTTTCTTGCCTTTGCTAGTATCACTAACTCTTGTCATTTCAGAGACTGCTTCTCCCTCCTGCCCTGCAGTAACCCTAGCGTTTCCCACCTTTCCTCCACCTGACTCCTCCCTGCCCACCTATTCACCTGTTCCTCATTCCCCCCATTCATTCATTCAGTCATTATATACTTTATTTATCCCCTAGGGGGAAATTAGTGTAGTTACTGTGTTTCTAACTAATCATGCAGACTAATCTGTTGTCGGCATGTTGATGACAGGTGTAGTCAACCCATCTAGCAGTGGAAACAGGGTCAATGTAATTTACCAAACAATGATAATTAAATTCAACCTTCATCATTTCAGGATGAGTCATATCCTTATTAGTATTTACCCTTTTATTTTCTGTTTAGCAATGTTATAATCGGTTGAGGGAAAATTCATCTTATACAAAAGGTCAGAACAATCTGTTTTTAACTTGCAATTCCTAAATCAATTAGTAAAGATTATCTGAAATGCAGGAATACATTACCATGTTCATATGAAACTGCCTGTCATTTTGATTTTTCCCTTCAGTCATGGCTGACTATTAGCAGCTCTGAGTACAGGTGTGAACACGTCCAAGACACATTGAGGACACATTTAAGATCCTATCACTCACACCACATTCACAGGTGATCTGGGCCACATTTGGCCACATTTCATTATAACATAAAGGTGTGGACCACCTACTCAACTGATGTCTTCTGCCACAGCTTAATTATTCCCACCACAATTTCATAATGTACCGAAAATATCTTTTGTTTCCTGCCACAATATCAATATAGACTGCCACATATTGAGTTTCTACATATTTTTAAACCATTTCAAATGAGTAAAATTTTATTTAATTGTAAAGCTGTTTCCTGTTCAGTCAGGGTTCATTTTTAGTAGAAGAGAGAAGATAAAAAGAATTATAAAAAGAATTATGACAAATAGAAATGTGTGGATCCTTTGTCAGCAATCAACATGAATATGTTCTGTGAGTTTGCTGACTTGCCAGGTACACAAAAGTCATGACTCCAGAGATGTGATTTCTGCAGAGATAAATTGCTTACCCTCTCTGAAAGAGATCCACATTGTGAAACTTGTGCAACTCTACAGAAAACTCCAGTGTTCCCTGTACTTCAGACATGATATAATCCCACTCATCACCTGTCAAAAGAGAAGACACACAGTAAATATGACACATCAGGAAAAAATAAGCAACAATAAGACAGAATCCACAATGGAAAATAAGACAAATTATGACATTTCTAGAACTAGCTCGCACTGTTATTTTCCTGTGTCGGCTGAGATGATGTGACTCACACAGCCCAATGTGGAGAACTGACGTATGTGACCAAGACAGACAGCTTGGTCTGAATATAGTTTTCATCTTCACTGTTCAGGTAAATGTCAGAAAATGAATACCACCTGTGATGTGATTATTTCAGAGCACTGATGTGTGCTGCTGGAAAGTGCTCTCTTTGTTGTGTCTGTCTTACGTAAGGATCATTTGAGTTCAGCGTCTATTACTGTAAACATCAACCCTTTGGTACGTTATTATTATTGCTTGAATACTTAGTAGGATTAGATCTATATGACCTGTATAGTTCTGTTTTGTCCTTTAAATAAATGTAAACTAGGCTACCTGCAAAGCTGATAGTTATGCTATCTAGCTTGTTCATTTAAAGGGGCGATTTGTAAGTTTCCTCTGCCGCCATTTGTGGTTTCTTTCATTTGTGGGCAAATAGCCCCAATACACAATCGTGTAGTGTTTTTATTTAAAGGCTTAATGCATCTCAGAGCTTTCTTGGTGTTTTCAGGGGGAAGTTTTCGTGTGCCATGATTTTCTATATGCTGTTTCAGAGACTTCTATCTTGATAATATAAAATCCTGTCTCACCTTAAAATGGGAAAATGTAAATTTATGTAGCACACACAATTTACGGTTCCCATTAACACAAGACAAATGATTATTTTTTACCTTTTGAGATGAACTTTGCTCACAACAACACTGAGATCCATGATCTTGTTGAAGGAAACTTACACTTACACAGGTACCTACATCTAAACGCATGACAGCTGCTAAAAAATGTACACATTCAGTTTCTGTTGGCCCTTAAGATACAGGATTTAGCAAAGAGTGAAATCTGCGTTATCTTTCGGGCCTCAGGTACAAGCCCATGTAAACATTACCTCAGCTCATTAAGAGAAAGGCAGGGAAATACCCCACTCTGTGTGCCTGAATTTACCAAACTGATGTCAGTCAACTGATGTTTCTACCAGAACCTGTGATCAACATCCCCAGGCCGGAGCTCAATTCACACATATGAGGAGTGATTTCCATTAACAACAATTAACTCTCAGTGTTTCCCCAGCAATTCTAAACAAGAGCCATCACATTTCACTTTAAATCCACAGTGTGTGAAACCATTAGGGGAAAACTGTAGATATGGACTTCATACTCTGCAGCCTTCAGAGAAAGTGCCCCGAGAGCAGATACACAGTCAAACTGAGCTGCTGCCAACCACAAGCAGATGAAACACTGTCAGTGTTTACAGTAAAGTGTATCAAATAACCCCTCATTGAATGCTTTGAAACATAATCCTCGCATGTGTGCGGTAGTCGATTAATGTTCCTGTAAGTTATGTAAAAACTGCCATGGGGAGTGATTACCAGAGAGGAAGATTTGCACACAAGTCTAAAGCAAAGAAACGGAGTCAGTGGCGTCAAACACCTTTCAGAAGTGCAACTGCATGTCATTACAACCAGTCCTCAGCTTAGCTGCCTTAAAAGCATGGTAATGTTTTCTTTAAGCAGTGAGGATGTATCTAGACAAGCTGGTTTTTCTAACAGCAGAGCTTATGATACCGGGTTATTGTGAGAGGTTAATTCGCTGCCACTAAAATACAAAATTCACAGCTAATTACAGTTGGCTCCAGCTTGCAGATATCCATGTGTATGATAACAGTTGACTATGTGCTAAACACAACCCCTTTTGCTACTCCTGTCACGTTTCCCATTCTTGCGTTGTACATGCAGAACAATGATAACGGTGGTACACTTAACATTGAGGCTCACACTAATTTTCACTGGGTACTTGACCTCAGAGGCACACAAACATCTTTCCTCTTCTAGCTAGTGACTGTTGTATTTGCCAGCTATCAAGCTAAAATTAATTCCATACATTACAGTCTTTTTAAAACGACTTTCTAATGTTTCCAACTGACTGGCTTGAATATAATCTTCCCTAAATTCAATAACAAAAAGGTTAGTGATATAAATACTACACAGTGGAAGCGCTACAGTCACATATGTAACCCCACAGACTAATGAAGTTAGCTAGCAATGAGCTCCACAGCCATGGAAGCGATGCCACAGTAGGTTATAAGTTAGTTAGCCGGACATGCTAACATTTGTAGCTTACACAACGGCTAATCACCACAGTATTTAATCCAGATTCTTACTTCTGTTTTGGGTTTTGGGAAGGCTTAAAAGTAAATGGTCAAAAATGTTAAAAATGTTCAATATTTCAACCACAACATTTATTTAGTTATGAATAGTTTACCTGGAATGACGCATTATGTTAAACTGCTTTGCTTAAGGGCGTTGGCAAGTTTTCTTTTTGTCTAGAATTTGCCCTTTTAATGTAAGTCATTTATTTGTAATGTAAGAGTCAGTTCTGATTTGTCACTTCTTACGAGCAGAGAAATCTATTGCAGCGTCCTTACCCCATCACCAGAATTTCATTTGTGCAAAACAGAGTGAGTCTAAAGGTGTCTTCTCACTTGGCAGAGAAAGACACTCCTCCACCTTATTTATGCTAATAAGATGTATTATAATAGTCTTGCCAAGTGTAGAGGAAGAATGGCGAGTAAACCTTCAATAAAACCTGAACCTGAGTCTTCTAAAAACAAGCATTGTAGAGCACCACGTCCATTTGAAAGCACAGGAACATAAAAGAAAGCAGCACAGTCAAACACTCCTGACAAAGACAGTAACCTTCTTTATCGCAGTACATTAGCTGGCCACTGCTGCAAATGGCCTGAAGAGACAAGAAATGACACTGTGAAACTGCTCTTCCTCCACTTGCTGACTCTGCATGTCGTGTCACATTGACACACACACTTGCAGCTCCATAAGAGTGAAGCTTCGTGTGTGCGAGGGTGAACCACAGATGACGGCGGTCATCATAATGTCATGAGCCGGTTTATGGGTCATTTGATGCAAGAGACCGTGGTGCATATACAGCTTGTGATTTCATCAGCGTTAATTAAGCTAGCCGAAGCTGCCTCGTTGCTTCTGTAATTCACTGAGTGAAACGCTAACGTCCTTGTTATCTGTTACCTGCTGTCTCAGAGATTCATAATAAGAAGGAGCCGCTCACTTCTCCAGCAATGTGTTAGGCAGGCAGAAAGGAGAATGAACACTGTGTACTTGATTAAATGGGAGGCTCACAGTCCAGGGACTTGGGACTTAATGTGCCTCCTTTTCCACCAAAACAATCTCTACCTACAGACAGTGTATGGGTAGAGAATGCACACACTGCATGCACCGATTATCAGCCTCTGCAGAAAATTCATCAATAAGTTAATCAAATCAGCGAGGCACAGACCAAAGCACCCACGCTGACAGCTTCAAAGGCATACAGCTGTCATTCATCTGAGTGGGGTACATTGTGTGTCCTCTGTTGACGATGACAATGACGATGACAATGATGATGATGAAACAACTCGTCAACAAAAGTAGAACTGCAGCACAAGACAATATCTTTGAAGGGTAAAAGTTATTCTTATTTTCATATTGTCAACAAATCCCGTGAAAAGAGCAAAATCTTTAATGTTTTCCGACTTCCAGGGCCTGTCTGTGGCACTCAGCTCTCGGCCCAATGAAGACGGAGCCCAAATTTATAGTCTGCGTTTTTTAAAAGAAAAATGCTCAGAGCAACACAGACAATACTTGTTAGCGAGATAAATCCTTTATTGGTTTTGGTCTTTTCATTGGATTTGCTGACAGACAAAGAAAAACATAGAATTTTGGCAGCCTTACCCAAGCAGCGTCTCACAAATAAAAATTATTTATTAGGCTGATTCCAGTGGGCCCTATTTTTAGACTTCTTCGATCAGGATCCAGTGTTTCCCCACAAGAATTTTACAGGGCTTTGAAACAGAATTTAAAACCTTCAAGTTCGGAAATAAACTGCTAACACGAAACTTAACTGGAAATTGCAACTTAATTGGTTAAAAAGAGGCAAAAACGTATTGTTAGTTTAGTTAGTTGTGTTAATTCTATAAGTTGTTTATTTTGAGAGGAATTTGGTTGAAATAACTTCCCCATTTATATTAAATCTTGCAGAAAATAGAGTTGAACAGCTAAGAATCCAAGCAATTAAAACATCTGAGACCTTCTTTTTGCTTCTTTCCCTCTTTCTAAAGTTATAATCAACAGGATTTTCATTAGATCAAAACATATTTTTGTTGCTATTTATAATCTACCCTTGAGCTACGTGCCTCAGTTTCTAAGGCCATAGTTGGCATGATGGGAAAACACACTAAACATGTTGCTGTTAGCACACTAACCTATTAAAGCTTTCAATTTAAATCATGTTGATTTCTTCAACATCCATCACCTCACCAAGTTCACCTTCTTCTTGTTGCACAAATCTCAGTTAAAATGCAAACATTGCTCTGCTAGCTGGACAATGCTACAACCTACACGTATCTGCACAACCTGTAGCCTAGCTAACGCTTTTAATTTGCTGTTTGTGCACTTTTACAATCTATCTGATTTTCTACTCACGGCAAATCATTAAACCCTAATCATTACAAAACAGCCATCTGCTGTCTGATTACTATTTAACGCAGGCCCCACAAACACACACATGCACACAAACACACACATGCACACAAACACACACACACACACACAAACACACACACACACACACACAAGAAAGGCCGGAAAGAGTTTGCAGCTCCAGTGAATCCTCCACCTCAAGGAAAAACTTAAAAATCTGGCTGCCCCTAAACTGCTGCTGCCCTCCTCCCCCTCCCAGCCGCTCCCATTGGTGTCAGCTCAGCTGGGAACACTGACTGACATCTCCAGTCTCAATCTGGGGAGGATGAAAAGGCAACGTCCTCATGACATGATTCAATGTGGAAGGAGCATATTTTGCAGGTAGGCG